CTGTATAGCCTCAATGGGGCTTGTTGGGGCAAACTTCTTTCTTTCATAACGTCATCCATGGATTATGTGATGTTGGGATGATGTGATGGATTATGTGATGTTGGGATGATGTGATGGATGATGTGATGATGGAAGATGCATGATGTGGTGGTGGTGGTGATGATGAATGATAATGTGGTGATAATGTGATGGATTATGTGATGATGAATTATGTGGTGATGATGATGTGATGGATGATGGGATAATGTGATGTGATTTTTTTTATTATGTAGTGATGATGTGATGGATTATGTGATGATGAATGATGTGGTGATGATGATGTGATGTGATGGATGATGGAATAATGTGATGTGATGGATTATGTGATGTTGGGAGATGCATGATGTGGTGGTGGTGATGATGAATGATAATGTAGTAATGATGTGATGGATTATGTGATGTTGGGATGATGTGATGGATGATGTGATAGGAGATGCATGATGGGATAATGTGATGTAATTTTTTGATTATGTGGTGATGATGTGATGGATTATGTGATTATGAATGATGTGATGGATGATTTGATGATGTGATAGGATCACGTGATTATGGATGATGTGATTATGCGATGATGAGATGGTGGATGATGTGATAATGTGATGATGGATGGTGTGATGGGATAGTGAACGATGTAATGGATGATGTGATGATGGATGATGTGATGATGGGATAATGAATGGATAATGGGATGACGTGATGGATGATGGAATGATGGTACAATGTATTATGTGATCATGTAATGTTGGTATGATGTGATGTGATTATGGGAGATGGATGATGTGGTGATGATGTGATGATGGATGATGTAATGTGGTGATGATGGATGATGTGATGATGGGATGATAGATGATGTGGTGGTGGTGATGATGAATGATAATGTGGTGATGATGTGATTGATTATGTGATGATGAATGATGTGGTGATGATGAATGATGTGATGGATGATGGGATAATGTGATGTGATTTTTTGATTATGTAGTGATGATGTGATGGATTATGTGATGATGAATGATGTGGTGATGATGAATGATGTGATGGATGATGGAATAATGTGATGTGATGGATTATGTGATGTTGGGAGATGCATGATGTGGTGGTGGTGATGATGAATGATAATGTAGTAATGATGTGATGGATTATGTGATGTTGGGATGATGTGATGGATGATGTGATGACAGGAGATGCATGATGGGATAATGTGATGTGATTTTTTGATTATGTGGTGATGATGTAATGGATTATGTGATGATGAATGATGTGATGGATGATTTGATGATGATGTGATAGGATCACGTGATGATGGATGATGTGATTATGCGATGATGAGATGGTAGATGATGTGATAATGTGATGATGGATGGTGTGATGGGATAGTGAACGATGTGATGGATGATGTGATGATGGATGATGTCATGATGGGATAATGAATGGATAATGGGATGACGTGATGGATGATGGAATGATGGTACAATGTATTATGTGATCATGTAATGTTGGGATGATGTGATATGTAATTATGGGAGATGGATGATGTGGTGATGACGTGATGGATGATGTAATGTGGTGATGATGGATGATGTGATGATGGGATGATAGATGATGTGATGATGGTAGATGTGATGGATGATATGATGATGTATGATGGATAATGGAATGATGGATAATGGGATGATGTGATGATGGGAAAATGTGATAATGATGCGATGATGAGATGGTGGATGATGTGATAATGTGATTGGATTATAGATGATGTGATGATGGGATAATTAATGGATAATTGGATGATGTGATGATGGATAATGGGATGATGTGATGATGGTAGATGTATTATGTGATGATGTAATGTTGGTATGATGTGATTATGTGATTATGGGAGATGGATGATGTGGTGATGTGGTGATGTAATGTGGTTATGTGTGATGTGATGAGAGTAGATGTATGATGTGATGATGGGATGGATAATGGGATGATGTGATAATGGGATGATGTGATAATGGGATGATGTGATTATGTGATGGGTGATATGATCATGGATGATGTAATGGATGATGGATGAAGTGATAATGATGTGATGATGGATTATGGGAAGATGTGATGATGGATGATGCATGATGTGATGATGGTAGATGTGATGATGGATGTGATGATGGGATAATGGATGATGTGATTTATGATGATGTGATGATGGATGTGATGGTGGGAGATGACGTGTTGATGGTTGATTGGATGATGCGATGATAGATGATGCAATGATGTGATGATGGGAAATGTATGATGTGATGATGTAATGATTGAATGATGTGATGATGCATGTGATGATTGGATGATGTGATGATGGATGATGATGTGATGATGGATGATGTGATGATGGATGATGTGATGATGGCATGATGGATGATGTGATGATGGATGATGATGTGATGATGGATGTGATGGTGGGAGATGATGTGATGATGGTTGATTGGACGATGCGATGATAGATGATGCAATGATGTGATGATGGGAAATGTATGATGTGATGATGTAATGATTGAATGATGTATGATGTGATGATGCATGTGATGATTGGATGATGTGATGATGGATGATGATGTGATGATGGATGATGTGATGATGGATGATGTGATGATGGCATGATGGATGATGTGATGATGGATGATGATGTGATGATGGATGTGATGGTGGGAGATGATGTGATGATGGTTGATTGGACGACGTGATGACAAACCGCTTGGATCGCAACGGGCGAGAGACGGTGCCGGCACCTCCGGTGAGCACGGCTCATTACGTTCGGTGCGAAGGAAGTTCAACATCACACAGACGACCGAATGGGGGGGGGGGGGGTTCAACGTTGATTGCCCGTCTGTGATGTCTCGTCCCCTAAACCGCTTAGCCCCAGGCAGTTTTCAGTTTCAGTTTCTTTATTTTGGTATAGCCCTGTGAGCCATTAGACTCTTGAATCGGGTGCAACCACAACAAAAGAACAAAAACACGAACAAGAAAACATCTTAAAGTGACTATGTGTTGAGTGTGCAAACAGAAAATCCATGAAAAAAACAGCAAAATTTCCTGAAAAAACCACCGTACACCAACGCTGTGTGCAAAAAAATCCCAGTGGGATGCAAGTCAAACAAGAACAACAATCACAAGAAAACTTAGATTAAGGCCATCAGTCTAACTCCGTACTACAACAAAACAAACATGTCCAAACCAAAAAACGTTTTCGAAATCACCAAAAACTAAAGCCATAATTGCAACGTAACAGTGATCATTGGGACTGTGACCGAATTTTTTTTTTTACAATAAACTACATAAATAACATGTAACACCAAACCCTAGAACCATAGCTGGCTGCATGAGTTACTCCACAACAACAGAAGCATCAGTCGGAGTATCAAATTTTTCAATGCACCTTTAAGATCAGCACGCTATATATCAAAATACAGATAATAAATCAAAATAGGCAATCCGCAGAACCTGCAGACGCAGCAGCAACAGCAGCAAGCAGTAACTCAGTAGTCGGCCTGGTCCCGCGAGATGACCTCGGGTTCACATTTAGCCACTCGTGGTCATCTCCTTGGCAGAAAGGGGGACTTATATGGCCAGAGTCAAGGGGAACCTTTGGGAGCAGCCAACGATCCCAATGCGTTTGGGGACTCGAGCGCGCATGCGGGTCCGTGTAGACGCGTGTGTGTGTGCACGTGTACGTGTGTGTACGTGTGTGTGTGTGAACGTGTGTGTGTGTGAACGTGTACGTGTGTGTGTACGTGAACGTGTGTGTGTACGTGTGTGTGAACGTGTACGTGTGTGTACGTGTGTGTGAACGTGAACGTGTGTGTGTACGTGTGTGTGTGTGAACGTGTACGTGTGTGTGTACGTGTGTGTGTGTGTGCACGTGTGTGTATGTGTACGTATGTGTGAACGTGTACGTTTGTGTGTGTGCGTGTGTGTGTGTACGTGTGTGTGTGCACGTGTACGTGTGTGTGTACGTGTGTGTGTGTACGTGTGTGTATGTGTACGTGTGTGAGTGCGCGTGTGTGTGTACGTGTGTATGTGCACGTGTGTATGTGCACGTGTATGTGTATGTGTGTGTATGTGTACGTGTGTATATGTGTACGTGTGTATATGTGTACGTGTGTGTATGTGTACGTGTGTGAGTGCGCGTGTGTGTGTACGTGTGTATGTGCACGTGTGTATGTGCACGTGTATGTGTGTGTATGTGTACGTGTGTATATGTGTACGTGTGTGTGTATGTGTACGTGTGTGTGTGTGCACGTGTGTGTGTGCACATGTGTGTATGTGTACGTGTGTGTAGTGTACGTGTGTGTGCATGTGTACGTGTGTGTGTGCATGTGTACGTGTGTGTGTGTACGTGTGTGTGTGCACGTGTACGTGTGTGTGTGTGAACGTGTACGTGTGTGTGTACGTGTGTGTGTGCGCACGTGTACGTGTGTGTATGTGGACGTATGTGTGTACACTGGTGTGTTTACACATGTGTGTGCACGTGTAGTGGTTAGCGCGCTGCACTACGAACCTGGCTACCCGAGTTCGACTCCCGCTCACGGCCAACATCAGTGATGATTATCTGAACCGGTCCTGGGCCTCCCCACCGTAGTCGTGGTGCGGTGCGTAGTAAACATCGCCACTGGGGAGACAAAGGCGGCCGGGCGCGGTGCTGGCCACCCACCCCCCATCGTGTGCCACAGTGCCGGTAGCCTTCACAGGAGCTACTCGCTAACAGCACTTGCCCCAAACGTCTGTGAAGGCTACACGGGGGGGGGATCTTTGTCTTTGGCGTGGGTAGTGTGGGAGGTGGGCGGCGTTCGATGCGCGTATGGGGGTGGGTGCGTTGGAAGCTCGAGAAGAGAGGATCGAGGTCGGAGGCGGTGGTGCAGACAGAACGAGGCTCGTCAAGTCCTCCGACCTTTGCAGCTGGCTCGCTGTTCCTTTGGTAGCGTAGCCGCAGAGGTTTGAGACACCTTCAGCACCACCAACCATCACCAACCGATCATCGAGTGTCTGTCCTCGCATCGCTTCTCTGCCTCTCTGTCGCCTTCCCCGCTGGCGAATTGTCGTTGAGTCTCGGAGAGCTAGCGCAGGTGAGTTGAGCGGTGGCGAGTGGCACAGGCTAGAGAAGAGAAGGGCTGATGGGTGAGTGGGTGAGTAGGTGAGTGAGTGGGTGAGTGAGTGGTGTTGAGTGGCACTGGCTAGAGAATAGATTGGGGTGATGGGTGAGTGGGTGAGTAGGTGAGTGAGTGGATTAGTGAGAGGCACAGACTAGAAAGAATATGGACTGATGGGTGAGTGAGTTTTTGAGTGGCACCCGGCCCCTTGCCTGGAACTCACAAATGATAGCTCAACGAAGTCGCGTATCATGTCGACATGTATAGCAGCAGGCAAATACTCCAAACGCACGTTTCCAAATGTGGATGGAAAAATTCGGAGGACCCGGAGAAAAATCCACGCAATCACGGCGAGATAGATAGAACACGCAAACTCGAAATACACAGCAGGCGTCAGGGTAGGCATCGAACCCACGACCTCCTGCATACCAGGCGAAACAGTTAAGATCTCCTAGCTACCGTGATAATGATTAGAGAGAGACACGCAAATTCTAAGTATACATCAGCAGGCATCGTCAGTGTCGGGATAAAATCGATAACTTCTTGCATACCAGGCAAGGTAGTTAACATCTCATAGCCACCGTGATGATGATTAGAGAGTGAGAGACGCAAACTCCAAAAATACAGCAGCAGGCGTCAGGGTCGGGATCGAACCCACGATCTCCTGGATACCAGGCGAGGGAGTTAACATCTCCTAGCCACCGTGGACCCAACAATAGCGCAGCTGATACAGTGTTCGGAAGACCTTCCATCATCCAGCAGTTGAATTTGTTGATTTAATGCAAACAGAAAATCAATTAGCGGAGGTGTTGCTGTGATCGGTGTTGTTGATTATATGTTTGCTGTGATGGTGATGTTGTAGTGATGGGTGATGTTGCGGTGATGGGTGATGTTGTAGTGATGGGTGATGTTGCGGTGATGGGTGATGTTGTAGTGATGGGTGATGTTGCAGTGATGAGTGATGTTGCAGTGATGGTGATATTGCAGTGATGGGTGATGTTGCATTCATGGTGATGTTGCAGTGATGGGTGATGTTGCAGTGATGGGTGATGTTGCAGTGATGGTGATGTTGCAGTGATGGTTATGTTGCAGTGATGGTGATGTTGCAGTGATGGTGATGTTGCAGTGATGAGTGATGTTGCAGTGATGGTGATGTTGTGGTGATGGGAGATGTTGCAGTGATGGTGATGTTGCAGTTATGGGTGATAGTGCTGTTGCTTTGATGGTGTTGATGTGTATATGGTGTTGATGGGATTGAGGTGATAGTGATGATGATGATAGTGAACATTCTGGTGATGGTAGCGGTTATGATAATGGGCATTGGGTGATGGTGACGGTAAAGATTATGATGTGGACATTTTGGTGATGGTAGCGGTGATGATGATGGACATTCGGTGATGGTGACGGAAAATATCATGACAGTGCACATTCTGGTGAAGGTAGCGATGATGATGATGATGGACATTCGGTGATGGTGACGGTAAAGATGATCATGATAGTGAACATTCTGGTGAAGGTAATGATAATGATGATGGACATTCGGTGATGGTGACGGTAAAGATGATCATGATAGTGAACATTCTGGTGAAGGTAGTATAGTCGCGTCTGATCCGTCCCCTCTCCACCTTTCGTGAATCCTTTCAAGGTTGGAGGGACAGCTCGTCTTATCTATATAACATCTTGCCACGGCAGCTCTCTCGCCCACTTCAGCAATTTTTTTCTTGCTGTGGTTGTCCCACCTGATGAAGATTGCTTGTGTTGCAATCGAAACGTCGTGATTTGTTTTGTTTTATTTCTAACTACGTGACTTTACCGAAAGAACCAAAGAGTATGAAATAATATAAAGTTCGCAGATGATGAGTGGTGACTCCGCATTGTGCTCTTTCCTATCAACCCATATGGTTTACCCCCTATTCTTGTACAGGGAAACTGAGTTTTCAGGTCTATACGCCGTACAGCCGTTTTAATGCGGGCCAAAAAAAAATGTATGTCTGTTTATTTGTGTTTCTCCGTTGTGATGGGACTTTGTAGGATGAACGTTGAGATTCATAAGGGGCACGGGTTGACCATTAAGGTCTGAATTGGTCTGTAATAAGGTAGGGCACTAATCAGGGGTTGATGGCAATGCTTATAGACAGAGACCCGTTATAGATCCTTAGAGATACTTAGAGGGCTCTTACACGAAAGTTTCCCCGTTTCACAATAACCCTACCCCCCACCCGGTGTTCACACACCTGTCAACCCTTTATCAGTGCCTACCTTATTACAGACCAATTCAGACCTAATTGGTCACCCTATGTCCTTATAAATCTCAACGTTCATGCTACAAAGTCCCATCACATGGGAGAAACACAAACAAAACTATATTTTTTTGTTTGTTGCCGTATTGAAACAGCTGTACGCCGTACGGACCTGAAAACTAAAATCCCCTGTACAATAAAACTAGGTAAACCGTATGGTTTGCCAGGTATGTCTTTTTTATATAAAATTATAACATGTAAATTAGAGAAATCATACTTTACTGACAATAAACATGTACAGCAATTATTATTTGTTGTATCATGTAACCTCTGAGAACACACCCGTGTCGCCCGCTCCATGAGTTCAATGTTAAACGTAATCTCTAAGTCGGCCATTTTGTGCCATCCCTATAAATCGCGCGACGGAATACGGCCAACTGTTGTCACATCAAATTTCTTAACAATATGTAAATTAGAGAATTATTATTTTACTTACAATAAACATACACAACAAGTATTCTTTGTTATATCATGTAACCTCTGAGAACACACCCGTCGCGCCCGCCCCATGAGTTCAATGTTAAAACTTAATCTCTAGGTCAGCCATTTTGTGCCTTCCTCATGAACAGTGCAAAGCAACGCAGTGACGCCTAACGTTGTAAACTATTACAAAACAACTTATCTTCTTTGGTTCTTTCGGTAAAGTCACCACGTAGAATGAGAATAAAATAATAAATTGATAAAATAACACAATAATATTCTCACGACGTTTCGGCCACAACACAAGCGGCCTTCATCAGGTGAAGGGACGAGACTGTCTGGTAGGACAGCGCTGGAGTGAAAGAGCCACGTTCAGATCACGGCCTTTTAGCCTCAACTTTAGCACCACGGATAGCTACGGGCCCCGTTCAGACGGACGAGTTCGTCCATGGTCGGAACAGAGGAGGGGGAGAGAGACAGCTTAGAGTCGCGGCATCTCTTCAGAATGGTGAGAGACTCGATTAGTTGAGCCTTCTTATCCCGGAGTCTGTTGAATGATCTTAAGGATGTGTGGAATCCCTCCCAGTAGAGGCGGTTAAATTTCGATTTAAAGCTTTCGTGACTGCAATGATTCATCTTCTTTGGTTCTTTCGGTAAAGTCACGTAGAATGAGAATAAAATAATAAATTGATAAAATAAAATAGCACAATAATATTCTCACGACGTTTCGGCCACAACACAAGCGGCCTTCATCAGGTGAAGGGGCGAGACTGTCTGGTAGGACAGCGCTGGACAGTCTCGTCCCTTCACCTGATGAAGGCCGCTTGTGTTGTGGCCGAAACGTCGTGAGAATATTATTGTGTTATTTTATTTTATCAATTTATTATTTTATTCTCATTCTACGTGACTTTACCGAAAGAACCAAAGAAGATGAATCATTGCAGTAACGAAAGCTTTAAATCGAAAACAACTTATGTTTGCATCATCAAAAACACTATACTCGTCTTCCAACTCGGTTGCCTCTATTCATTCGAGTGGGATTTGATTTAAAATAAACGAGTTACCTCACACTCTCGTAATAATTTAAATAACTCACCACGAGGCGCGACGCCATCTTATTTTTGTTCGATTTACACCCCTCGCAAAAAACGGCGAACAAAATACAACTAAAAAAAAATAAGTGAACATCTCGCACCTGCGATAGCGAGCAGAGATACCCTCCATGTCGCAACACCGCGACTGAATTCCTCTGCCAATGGGATTGAGCGCCAGTGTTAATATTTGAGATGTGTATTTTACGCACATGGGAAATCACATCTAATAACACAGTCTTAACTATGCATATTCTAGTTACCACCACGAACTCAATCAACAGTCAATTAACATCACCGAGTTCCTGTCAGTAGATTGACATTCAAATTTAAGTTATATATTATTGGAGTTAATGTAGACTGCAGCTAACTGGTGCAGAAAATAGCCCCAAATATAAAATTGTACTCTGCTGTGCAAGTGGGGGGGGCTCGGGATCCAGTCCCTGATCACCATTTGCCTGATATTAAAATATGATCATGAAACGCACCTGGCTACCTTTAGCTATGCGAAATGGTTTATTAGGTTCCCGTATGCTACAGATTGCACAATTCTACGTGCGTTTAATAACAGGTGAGCTCACACCGGGTAAAGTAGCAATGCTGCTTACTCATAAACACGTTGCTGCTGATGATGGTGGCATCCTCTGGTCGTGGTTGAAGATGATGATGTGATGATGGTGAGCATGACGACGATGTCTTTTCAGCGTGGTTGAGCGTAAGAATGACCCAATCCAGCCGTGATAATCAATCCCACGGGAACTTCTCCTCCCCCACGTGCAGGGCTCATCATATTCCTTCCCACCTGCTCCAACTCCTTCAACTCCTCCGCATCCTCGTCCCCTGCTCTCCTGAAGACAGTCGCACTCCTTCACAATGAACCGAAATCTCAAGGGCGGATTCGAGACCATGAGGACCACCACCACCAAGACGACCAAAATCATACGGAAGGGCAGCACGGGGGTTGTCCAGCATGGTTAGAAATACAACAATGCCGTGCACTACGATAGAGGGTGGCCCAAAAGTCAGGAACACAGCAGTAGTATTAGTATTATACAGGGTGGCCCAAAAGTCAGGACACATAGGGTTATTGTTATTATACAGGGTGGCCCAAAAGTCAGGACACATAGGGTTATTGTTATTATACAAGGTGGCCCAAAAGTCAGGACACATACGGTTATTGTTATTATACAGGGTGGCCCAAAAGTAACGACACATAGAGTTATTTTTATTATACAGGGTGGCCCAATAGTCAGGACACATAGGGTTATTATTTTATACAGGGTGGCCCAAAAGTCAGGACACATAAGGTTATTATTCTTATACAGGGTGGGCCAAAAGTAATGACACATAGGGTGATTGTTATTATAGAGGGTGGCCCAAAAGTCAGGATACATGGAGTTATTGTTATTATACAGGGTGGCCCAAAAGTCAAGACACATAGGGTTATTTTTATTATGCATGGTGTCCCAAAAGTCAAGATACATGGGGTTATTGTTATTATAAAGGGTGGCCCAAAAATCAGGACACATAGGGTTATTGTTATTATGAAGGGTGGCCCAAAAGTCAGGACACATGGGGTTATTGTTATTATACATGGTGTCCCAAAAGTCAAGATACATGGGGTTATTGTTATTATAAAGGGTGGCCCAAAAGTCAGGACACATAGGGTTATTGTTATTATACATGGTGGCCCAAAAGTCAAGATACATGGGGTTATTGTTATTATGAATGGTGGCCCAAAAGTCAGGACACATAGGGTTATTGTTATTATACAGGGTGGCCCAAAAGTCAGGACACATAGGGCTATTGTTATTATACAGGGTGGCCCAAAAGTCAGGACACATAGGGTTATTGTTATTATACAGGGTGGCCCAAAAGTCAGAACACATAGGGTTATTGTTATTAAACAGGGTGGCCCAAAATTCAGGACACATAGGGCTATTGTTATTATACAGGGTGGCCCAAAAGTCAGGACACATGGAGTTATTGTTATTATACATGGTGGCCAAAAAGTCAAGACACATGGGGTTATTATTTTTATACAGGGTGGCCCAATAGTCAAGACACATGGGGTTATTGTTATTATCCACTCCTCACTCCTCCACTTCTCCACTCCTCAATCCTCCACTCCTCTCCCCTCCTCCCCTCCTCCATTCCTCCCCTCCTCCACTCCTCAATCCTCCACTCCTCTCCCCTCCTCCCCTCCTCCATTCCTCGCCCCTCCTCCACTCCTCCACTCCTCACTCCTCCACTCCTCGCCCCTCCTCCACTCCTCCATTCCTCACTCCTCCACTCCTCGCCCCTCCCCCACTCCCTTCTCCGCCGCTTCTCACCGTGGCGCTCCTCCACTTCTCACTCCTCCTCCACTCCTCGCCCCTCCTCCACTCCTCGCCCCTCCCCCACTCCCTTCTCCGCCGCTTCTCACCGTGGCGCTCAGAGTCGTCCTCCACGAGCAGCACGAGCTCCACGGTGAAGCGCAAGTCGTCCATCACCACGTCCACAGTCTCGCTCGTCACCTTCAACACCAACGTGGAGCCGGGCGACAGCCTGCCCGAGTTCACCATCAAACCCCCTCCCCTCAACGTGCCAGAGGGTGAGCTACAGGGGAAGGTGGGGGGAGGGGTCACTTGGGGGGGGGGGGGTGGATGGAACGGTGGTGGTGCAGCAATGGTTAGCGTGGGTGCCACCGTAGATGTTGACTACCTCGCCTAGTATGCAGGAGTTCGATCCCAACCCTGACGCCTTCTGTATATCGGGAGTCTGCGTCTCTCTCAATATCATCACGGCAGCTAGGAGATGTTTACTACCTCGCCCGGTATGCAGGAGGTCGTGGGTTCGATCACGACCCTGACGCCTGCTCTATATTTGGAGTTTGCGTCTCTCTCATTATCATCACGGCAGCTAGGAGATGTTTACTACGTCGCCAGGTATGCAGGAGGTCGTGGGTTCGATCACGACCCTGACGCCTGCTCTATATTTGGAGTTTGCGTGTCTCTCTTTCACTCGCCACGTGGTGGTCGCGTGGATTTTTCTCCGGGTTCCTTCGGGTTTTGCCTCCACATTTAGAACCAACATTACGCGTTCAGAGTATGTGAATGCTTTACATTTCCACGTGATAAGCCCACTTTGTTGAGCTATCATTTGTGGTGGCTAGGTCGCTTCTGAAATAAAGCTACATAACTCAGTGGGCCTCACCTGGTAAAGTAAATACAAACACTCTTGGTTCTTTCGGTAAAGACAACTGCCCTGCTGTATCGGTTCCGCCTGATGACGGTCGCTTGTGTTGTGATCGAAACGTCGTGATTTATTTTATTTTATACCTACGTGACTTTTACCGAAAGAACCAAGAGTATGGATTCCTGCAGTCACGAAAGCTTCAAATCAAGATTAAATACAAAGAGTTTAGTTAGGCGTGCCGGGCAATTATATCGGCTGAGACCCGAGTTCGATTCACGCTCACGGCCCCCTAACACCAGTCATAGCGATTATCTGAACTGGTGCCGGGACTCACCTTGGTCGACTCAGCCTCAAACGAGTAGCTGGTGCGGTGTGGAGTTAACATCGCCACTGGGGAGAGAAAGGCAGCCGGGCGTGGTGCTGGCCACCCAAATCCCTCGTGTGCCGTGCCGGCCTTCATAGGTGCTGCCACTCGCTTAACAGCACTTGGCCCAACAGTTTATCGAGACTATACGGGGGAGATATTTGTCTTTAGTGGCTGTGCTGCTGCTCGTGAAGGTGGTGGTGCCTATGCTGCTGCACGTGATGGTGGTGGCTATGCTGCTGCACGTGGTGGTGGCTATGCTGCTACTTCACGTGGTGGCGGTGGCTATGGTGGTGGTGGATATGCTGCTGCTGCTGCTGCACGTGATGGTGGTGGCTATGCTGCTGCTGCACGTGGTGGCGGTGGCTATGCTGCTGCTACTGCGTTGGCTCTCTGTAATCACCCAGCAACTGGAGAGGCAGCAGCAGCAGGAGCGAGGGTTAGTGGATGGATCACACGCAGATGAGTTGTGAGACTCCCTTGGCCCTCGCCCCCCTTACGCCCTCCCACCCCCCCCCACCCCCCCCCCACCCCCCCAAGGTAAGAACGTCTTCATGAGGGCCAAGATTGCCGGGGAGCCCAAGCCCAAGGTCTGCTGGAAGCGCGGAGCTGGGAACGACGTCAAGGAGTTCGGAGAGCGATTTCGCGATCGATACGATGCCATCACGGGCGAGCACTCACTCCAGGTGTCCATCTCACTCACCCGCACGGCCACCTCACCCACACCTCGCCCACACGGCCACCTCACCTGCACGCCCACCACCTCACCCACACCTCACCTTCACAGCCACCACCTCACCTACACCTGACCTGCACGGCCACCACCTCACCCACACCTCACCCGCACGGCCATCTCACCCACACCTCACCAGCGCGGACACCACCTCACCCACACCTCACCCGCACGGCCACCATCTCACCCACACCTCACCCGCACGGCCACCGCCTCACCCACACCTCACCCGCACGCACAACACCTCACCCACCCCTCAACCGCACGGACTTGGCCGGACCCACTCCTCACCCACATGGCCACCACCTGACCCGCACCACACCCGCACGGCCAACACCTCACCCACCCCACAACCGCACGGCCACCACCTCACCAAAACCTCACCTGCACGGCCACCACCTCACCCGCACGGCTACCACCTCACCCACACCTCACCCGCACGGCCACCACCTCACCCACACCTCACCCGCACGGCCACCACCTCACCCACACTTCACCCGCACGGCCACCTCATCCACAACTCACCCAACCCGCTCGGCCACTACCTCACCCACACCACACCACGAATGCATGGCCGGGCGGTGCGTGGTGCTGGTGCTGGTGGCCACCCACCACCCTCCACCCCCTCTGTGTATGCAACCGTGCCGGGCTCCATAGGTGCTGCTGCTGCTCGCCACTAACAGCACTTGCCCCACCAGCCCACGAAGGCTACACGGGGGACCTTTGTCTGTGTGTTGGGTACAGATCGAAAATGCCACCATGGACGACACGGACACGTACAAGTGCGTGGCCACCAACGCCTACGCAGAGGCGACCTGCACCTTCAGCCTGACCGTCATTGAGAGTAAGTGGGTGGGCGAGTGGATGGCTGGATGTGCGGATGCGTGAGTGGTTGTGTGGGTGGAGTGGGTTTGTTGAGTAGGTACGTGGGCGAGTGGACGGATGGGTGAGTAGTGGGTGGGTGAGTGAATGAGTGAGTGGGTGGATGGGCGAGTCGAGTGGATTATTGGCTGGATTGGTGAGTGGGTGGGTGAGTGAATGGACGGGTCGATGAGCGGGTGAGTCGGTGGGTGGGTGGGTGAGTGGGTGGATGGGTGGGTGATGGGTGGGTGAGTGAGTGAATGAGTGAGTGGGTGGATGGGTGAGTAAGTGGGTCGATGAGTCTGTGAGTGGGTGGCTGGGTGGATGGGTGGGTGGATGGGTAAGTGGGTCGATGAGTCTGTGAGTGGGTGGCTGGGTGGATGGGTGTGTGAGTGAATGAGTGAGTGGGTGGATGGGTGAGTAAGTGGGTCGATGAGTCTGTGAGTGGGTGGCTGGGTGGATGGGTGGGTGGATGGGTAAGTGGGTCGATGAGTCTGTGAGTGGGTGGCTGGGTGGATAGGTGGGTGAGTGAATGAGTGAGTGGGTGGATGGGTGAGTAAGTGGGTCGATGAGTCTGTGAGTGGGTGGCTGGGTGGATGGGTGGGTGGATGGGTAAGTGGGTCGATGAGTCTGTGAGTGGGTGGCTGGGTGGATGGGTGTGTGAGTGAATGAGTGAGTGGGTGGATGGGTGAGTAAGTGGGTCGATGAGTCTGTGAGTGGGTGGCTGGGTGGATGGGTAAGTGGGTCGATGAGTCTGTGAGTGGGTGGCTGGGTGGATGGGTGGGTGAGCGAATGAGTGAGTGGGTGGATGGGTGAGTAAGTGGTCGATGAGTCTGTGAGTGGGTTGCTGGGTGGATGGGTGGGTGGTTGTGAGAGAGTGGGTGGTTGTGAGAGAGTGGGTGGTTGTGAGAGAGTCTTCAGGAGAGTTTTCTACTCCTTCCTCACCTCCTCACCCTTCATTTCCTCTCTGTGTGAACGTTTCAGGTCAGGAAAAAACAGTGGACTTCAAGTCGATGATGAAAAAAAGGTGAGAGCCCAGAACTACAATCCCCAATACAAGGCGTCTTCATCTATACATCATAATCTCTCTACGATGGCCTGCATCTATATATCTATAATCTATATACGAGGGTCTACATCTATAGATCAATCATCTATCTACGATGGCCTACATCTATAGATTTATTATCATCCTCCTCTATCATCCTCCTCCTCTATCCTCCTCCAGGTCTAAGCTGCCGCCTCCACCTCCACCCAAGGAGGTGAAGGTGCTCACGGAGAAGGAGATCATGGAGCTGCTGATGAACACTGAGAAGAAGGACCTGGAGCGTGTTTGCTTCGAGCTGGGCATCACCGACTTCCGTGGCATGCTCAAGAAGCTCAAGCAGATGAAGAAGAAGCATGAGGAGGCGATAGAGGTGATGGTGGTGGTAGTGATGATGGTGGTGGTGGTGATGATGGTGCAGTTGTGGAGTGGAGAGTTTCCCATAACTGAGCAATGTGCTTATGACCAGCTCCGGATTGACAGCAGAGGTCTCACGTCGAATCAGTCAGGCGGCATTGTCTTTTCATCAGCTGTGTACTGCTGTGTGCAGCTACCTGGTCTGTAGCTCAGCACGGAGCTTCGCATCTCTTCGTCCACAGTCATGCCCTTCCTACTCTATGTTTGTGAAACGTGGAGCCCTCTAATAGAACATCTGTGCTGTTTAGAAACATTCAGGCAGGTGTGTCCATCCATCCTGGGTTTAACCAGGCTGGATTGTGTGACGAACTCACAACTGCTTGAAAAATCTGGACATATTCCCATTAGTGAGCTCCTCTGGTAGGCAAGGCTGCGTTGGCTGGGTCATGTAGCCGGCATGCCCAGTCACCACATGCTGAAACAGCTTTTGTTCGGCCGGATCGAGGCGGCTAAACGGCCACGACGCGGGCTGTAGAAGAGATGGAGTGATGTGGTAAAGGAGGACATGGAGCTGAGTGGACTTGCTGGAGACTGGCACCAGCAGTGTCAAGATCGGCCTCTATGGAGGAGGCTTGTGAAGGATGCTGCTGCTGGGCAGTTGGAGGCAGTCGCCCTCCAACAGAAATGGAGGGCAGAGGAGCGACACTCACAACAACAAGCGGAGCACCGGGTGGCTAAAGCACAGCAAGTTGGCACAGTAGGGGGCACAGGTGGTGCATCAGCCAGTCATCTCGGTCATCTCAGTCAGTCGACCCGTGGCACCTGGGTCTGCCCCGTGACCTCCTGTTAGCAGGCATTCGACACTTCACGTGGCCTCAACGTGCACATAGCCTGGCACAAGCGTCGTGGTGATGTCACCGCCACTTAGTGGCGAAATGCGGTTGTTGTTGTATGTGCGTCTCTGTCTTCGCGTGTGTGTGTGCATGTGTGCGCGCGTGAACGGTAGTGTAGCGGTTAGCGTTCTATGCTACGAACCTGGCGAGTCGGGTTCCCGTTCATGGCCAACACCGGTGACGATTATCTGAACCGGTCCTGGGCCTCCCCCTAGGTCGACTCAGCCTCAAATGAGTACCTGATGCAATGTGTAAACATCGCCACTGGGGAGACAAAGGCGGCAGGGCGTGATGTTGGCCACCCACCCCCTCTTGTGCCATGCCGGCCTTTATAGGTGCTCTCTAACAGCACTTTCTCCTACAGTCTGTTAAGGCTATACCGGGGATCTTTGTCTTTGTGCGCGTGTGAGTGCAGACGGTGACACTGCTCAAGGACATGGTGGACGTGGTGGTGAAGACGGGCGAGAAGGCCACCTTCGAGGTCCACCTCGAGTTCAAGGACCCCAACCACCAGCGCGTCCGCTGGTTCAAGGTCAGTAGCATCCGAGATCGAGAGGTCGAGCCAGGCGTCACACCGGTTACACCTTGAACCGGCGCGTACTCTCTCTCTCTCTCTCTCCCCCACCGCTCCTCCCTTTCCCCTATCTCCCACCATCGCCCCCCCCCACCCTCCCCCCCATCTACCACTCCTCTCTTTTTACCCCATCTCACCCTCTCTCTCTCTCTCTCCCCCACCGCTCCTCCCTTCCCCCTATCTCCCACCATCGCCCCCCCCTCCCCCCCCATCTACCACTCCTCTCTTTTTACCCCATCTCACCCTCTCTCTCTCTCTCTCCTTCCTCTCCCCCTTCTCTCACATCTCTGCCATCCCATCTCCGCTCCATTTCCCCCCCACCCCCTCTCTCTCTCCCATTCCTCCCCCTTCTGTACTCCATCTCTCCCCCATCTCCCCCATTACTCTATCTCCCTCATCTCTCACCTCCCTCTCTCTTCTCTCCCCCATATCCTTCCCATCTCCCCCTGTCTCCCCTTCATCGCTCCCTCATCTCCTCCCATCTCCCTGTCTCTACCCCATCACTCCCCCATATCCCCCTCATCTACATCATCTCCCCCATCTCCCTCAAACTCTCCCCGATCTCTCCCCCATCTCTCCCCATCTCTCCCTCATCTCCCTCATCTCTCCCCCATCTCCATTCAATATCCCACATTTCCCTAATTTCCATCATCTCTCCCCCATCACCCCCATGTCCCCCAATCTCTTCTCCATCTGCCCCCCATCGCTCCACCATCTCACCCTCATCTCCCCCATCTCCACCCCCCATCTTCCCATCTCCCCCCCATCTCCCCCCCCCATCTCTCCCCCAAATCTTCCCCATATCCTCCCCTCTCTCTCTCTGTCTTTTCTCCCTTATCACTCCAATCACCCCCACCCCAATTTCCCCCATCTCTCCCTCCATCTCCCTCATCTCTCCTCCCCCGACCCCCCCCCCTTCTCTCTCCGTCTCCCCTTTGTGGTGGTGGTGCACCAGAACAAAGAGCTGCTGATGACGGCCGCGAGTGCAGGGAAGTATGAGCACAAGCAGTTCTCCAGCAAGCACACGCTGGTGATCGCCAACGCCGACCTCAGCGACCAGGCCTCCTACTCGGTGGAGGCCAACGAGAAGACGTGGACCGCCAACCTGAAAGTGATTGGTGAGGACGAGCTTGGAGGGTGGTGGTGGTGGACAGGGGAGAGGAGGAGGTGGAAGAGGTGGAGGAGGTGGAGGTGGTGGAGGTGATGGTGGAGGAGGAGGTGGAGGACAGGGGAGAGAAGGAGGTGGTGGAGTAGGAGGTGGTGTTGGAGGCAGTGGAGGTGATGGTGGAGGTGATGGAGGAGGTGGTGGTGGAGGAGGAGGTAGAGGTGGTGGAGGAGGTGGTGGTGGTGGTGGTGGTGGAGGAGGTGGTGGAGGAGGTGGTGGAGGAGGAGGTGGTGGAGGTGGAGGAGGTGGTGGTGGAGGAGGTGGTGGAGGAGGTGGTGGAGGAGGTGGTGTTGAAGGCAGGGGAGGTGATGGTGGAGGTGATGGTGGAGGAGGTGTAGGACAGGGGGAGAGGAGGAGATGGTAGAGGAGGTGGAGGGGGCGGTGGTGGGAGGAGGTGGTGGTGGAGGAGGTGGTGGTGGAGGAGGAGGTGATGGTGGAGGTGGCGGAGGTGATGGAGGAGGTGGTGGTGGAGGAGGTGGTGGAGGAGGTGATGGAGGAGGTGGTGGAGGATGTCGTGTTGAAGGCAGGGGAGGTGATGGTGGAGGTGATGGTGGAGGAGGTGTAGGACAGGAGAGAGGAGGAGATGGTGGAAGAGGTGGAGGGGGTGGTGGTGGAGGAGGTGGGTGAGGTGACAGTGGACAGGGGAGAGGAGGGATGAGGAGGAGGAGGAAGGAGGGAGCAGGAAATCTCAAAGTGATCCGTAAAAAGGTGGAACAGGTGGGGGAGGAGATGTTGGAGGAGGAAGAATAAAAGGAGGAGGTGGAGAGGGCAGAGGAGGAGAAGGAGCAGGGGCGAGGAGTGAGAACCCTTCTACCCCCTTCCCTCGGCCCCTCCCCCCACCCCTCCCTGTGCTCCAGACGACCCGTGCCGCATCCTGTCGAACCTGCGTCCGGCGCACTGCAAGGAGAAGACGATCGCCATGTTCGAGGTGGTGCTCTCCAAGAGTCAGGGCGACCTCAAGTGGACCTTCAACGGCGTGCCAATCAAGCGCAGCGACAAGGTCAGCGCTCCGGGGCTGACCTTCGAACAAAGAAGGTCGCCTGCATCGCGCGTTTTCAGACGCTATTTACACTACAATATACACTACACTATACACTAATATACACTACACTATACACTACAATACTATGCAGTACACTACACATCACACTACTATACACTACATGACTATACACTACTATACATACACTATACACTACATGACTATACACTACTATACACTACACTACATGACTATACACTACCCTACACATTCCACAACACTACTATACACTACACTATACACTACTATATACTACACTATACACTAATATACACTACACTATACACTAATATACACTACACTATACACTACAATACTTTGCAGTACACTACACATCACACTACTATACACTACTCTATACACTACATGACTATACACTACTCTACACGACATTCCACAACACTACTATACAATGCACTATACACTACACAGCGCTATGCACGACACTTTTGGCTCGCCATCGAACAAAGATGGTCACTGCATCACGCGACACTGACGGATGCGCTTCTGCGGCCGTCTGGAACGCGCTTCCCTTCCGATAGATTGACAAACTCACTTCTCTAGAACTGCTGCTTGTTGTTGTCAGTTGTCCTTCCCCACCCCCGGCACCTCCGATTAGCGTGATTGGCTACGTACGGTGCGAAAGGAGCTCAACGTACACACACACACGCGCGCGATAAGACGCACAGCCGTCCCGTAGTCTCGTCGCATGGGCGGCTCTTGAAACCTCGAGGGTGTCGCGGTAGCCGCTTATTTATTTAGTAAATGAATCTCACCGCTAATTCTAAATCGAACGGATCTTCCCGTTTGGGGGGCTTGTTCTTGTTGTTGTTGTTTGCCTTTCCGCCGACCGCCTGACTGCCCGCGGCGCCCCCACAAAGATGGACATCGTGTCTCGAGACGGGGGCAAGATCCACCAGCTGATCATCAAGGACGCGCGACTCAGCGACAAGGGCACCTACGGCGTCTGCATCGGCGACCAGACCTCGTCGGCCGAGCTCATCGTCGAGAGTGCGTGGACGGTGGGACGGTGGCGCCAGGGGGAGGGAGGGATGGCGGGGGTTGGATGATTGTGGGAGGGGGGCGGCGGGGGGGGGGGGGTGATGGCGCGGGAGTAGAGCGCAGGACGGAGATGGTGCGGGAGTAGAGCCGAAGCTGATGCCTGCTGCTGTATATTTGGAGTCTGCGTCTCTCTCATCATCATCACGGTGGTTAGGAAATGTTAACGAGCTCGCCTGGTATGCAGGAGGTCGCGGGTTCCATCCCGACCCTGACGATGCCTGCTGCTCTATATTTGGAGTCTGCGGTATTTCTCTCCCCGTGGCGGCGTGGATTCAACGTCACGCGTTTTGGAGTAATTGGCTACTTCTTTGGTTCTTTCGGTAAAGTCACGTAGAATGAGAATAAAATAATAAATTGATAAAATAAAATAACACAATAATATTCTCACGACGTTTCGGCCACAACACAAGCGGCCTTCATCGGGTGAAGGGGACGAGACTGTCTGGAGGACAGCGCTGGAGTGAGAAAGCCACGCTGAGATCACGACCCTTAAGCTGTGTGAGAAGAAACAAAGCGCCTTGACAAAGGAATTAGCATATAATTTAGCATTGAAATGGCTGAGTGATTAGCTTGTGACTGGTCACAGAAAAGGCTATGTTAAAGTTAAAGCATCCACATCCACAGAGGCACCCCTTGACAAAGGAATTAGCATAGAATTTAGCATTGAAATAGCTAAGTTAAAGTATACACATCCGCAGAGGCACCCCTTGACAAACGAATTAGCATAGAATTTAGCATTGAAATAGCTAAGTTAAAGTATACACATCCGCAAAGGCACCCCTTGTGTTGTGGCCGAAACGTCGTGAGAATATTATTGTGTTATTTTGTTTTATCAATTTATTATTTTATTCTCATTCTACGTGACTTTACCGAAAGAACCAAAGAAGATGATTCCTTGCAGTCACGAAAGCTTTAAATCGACATTTTATTGGCTACTGCTATCAATTTCCACGTGATGATGATGAGGATACGCCACTTGGTTGAGGAGCTATCATTTGTGGCAGCCAGAGTCGCTTCTAAAAAAGCAGCTACATAGCTCAAGAGGGCCTTTCACCTTGTAAAATAAAATTAAAATAACTTAGAGATAAAACTATATCAACCACACGGACACCGCGGGCAGGGTACTTACCAAGGCCGTAATTATAATAAATATTGGGGGGGACACATCCCCCCCAATATTCAAATATGCTCAAAATGTCCCCCCCCCCGATATATTGCTATAAAATAGATTTATGTTTATATGATTGTGGTTATGGTTGTACTTTATAAATCCCTAATCTCTGCCATTACATACAATGAAACAAGAAAAAGTTAAAAAGAAAAAAAACAGGGCAATGTAATACAATAATAACTATCAGACATTATTGTGAAAAATAAAGAAAAAGTCCATCCTATGTGTTAGTGACATTTTTAATATTTTAGGCAGGAAATTCGCTTTAAAATTTAGATTTATTTTCTAGGGGGGGGGGGGACCCCCAGACCCCCTGGAAGATTTGGTCCCCCCCCCCCAATGTTGACTCCATGGCTACGGCCTTGGTATCTACCATCCTGCAGATACCACACTCACTCTGGAGCAGTAGTGTCCAGCACAGGAAGATCTCAAGGGAACGTACCGAAAAATATCAACACGGGAGCAGAACCGTTCTTGGGCCTCCCGCTAGGTCGACTCGGCCTCAAATCAGTAACCTGGTGCAGTGCTGCGCGTGGTCAAAATCGCAGCACTGGGGAAGACAAAAGCGGTCGGCCGGCCGAGCGGGCGGGGGTGGTGCCGTCCGCACCCCCCCACCCCCATCATCACCGCGCTACCCTAAGTGTTGCCACCGCTCATGACCCATGTTTCTCTTCCTCCCACACACCCCCACACCCCGAACTCGACCACGGCTGCCTAACAGAGGAGCCGATCAAGTTCTCGAGCAACCTGAAGACGGTGCGCGTGAAGGAGAAGAGCGGCGCTCGCCTCGAGTGCGAGATCACCACCAAGGACGTCTCCGTGAGGTGACGCCTCGGGACCACCCTCCTGCTGGGGGTGGTGAAGGTGGTGCTGGTGGAGGTGGTGTGGTGAGGGTGGTGTGGTGATGGTGGGGGTCATGGTGACGGTGGTTGTGATGGTGGGGGTGGTGATGATGGTGGTGGTGCTGGTGATGTTGTTGGTGATGGTTGGGGTGGTGTAGTGGTGGTGGTAATGGTGGTTGTGATGGTGGGGGTGGTGGTGATGGCGATGTTTCTGGTGCTGGTGATGGTTGGGGCGGGGGTGGTGTAGTGGTAGTGGCGGTGGTTGTGCTGGTTGTGGTGCTAGTGGTGGTGGAGCTGGTAATCTTGCTGGTGCTGGTAGTAGTGGTGAGCGGGAGTGTAGCGGCAAGCTCTATGCTGCGCTATGAACCCGGCGACCCGTGTTCGATTCCCGCTCACGGTCGACACCAGTGACCATTATCTGAACCGGTTCTGTGCCTCCCCTAGGTCGACTCAGCCTCAACTGAGTACCTGGTGCGGTGTATAAACATCGCCACTGGGGTTACAAAGGCGGCCGGGCGTGGTGCTGGCCACCCACTCTCTGTGTGCCGTGCCGGCCTTCATAGGTGCACTTTCCCCAACAGCCTGTGCAGGTTATATGGGGGATCTTTATCTTTAGTGTTGATGGTGGTGGTGGTGCTGGTAGTGGCGGTGCTGATGGTGGTATTGGTGTTGGTAGTAGTGTTGGTAGCTGTTGATGGCATCAGAGGATGAGGCCACGTTGACCCTCTTAATCTTCTCCCCCGATCACTAACTCCACTCACAAGCCACCTCCTCACCGTCTCGCATCTGCCCTACCACCCACAGCCAAAGACAAAAGTCTCCCGTGTTAAGCTTGAACAGACGATTGGGGCAAGTGGTGGTCATTAGCGGGATTTGAAGTCGGGTCACCAGGTTTGTAGCGCAGGGCGCTGACTGCTCACCTCTCAACAACCACCCCTTCCCTCCTCTTCTTCCTCACAACCCGCCACCACATCCATCGCCACCACCTTTACTACCTCCACCACAATCACCTCCACCACGACCACCACCTCCACCACCTCCACCACCTCCACCATCACCTCCACCACCTCCACCATCACCATTACCTCCACCACCTCCACACAATCATCTCCACCACGACCACCACCTCCACCACCATCACCACTACCTCCGCCACAATCACCTCCACCACGACCACCACCTCCACCACGACCACCTCCACCACCTCCACCATCACCACTACCTCCACCACCACCTCTAACACCACCACAATCACCTCCACCACCACCACGACCACCACCACCAACCACCACCTCCACCATCACCACTACCTCCACCACCTCCACCACCACTACCTCCACCATAATCACCTCCACCACGACCACCTCCACCATCACCATTACCTCCACCATCACCACCACCTCCACCACCACCACTACCTCCACTACGACCACCTCCACCACCACTACCACCACCACCACCACCTTCACAACCACCACCACCACCGGACAGGTGGCTTAAGAACGGGCAGCCGATCCCGCAGCACCTGCTGGACAGCGGCAAGGTGAAGGTGGTGTCGAGCGGCAAGCACCAGGAGTTGGTGATTGAGGACGCCACGCTGGAGGACGCGGGCCAGTACTCCATTGTGGTGGTGCAGGAGGGTGACACCAAGGAGTACGTGTCCGCCGCTGACGTTCACGTCGAAGGTGAGCTGGTACTGGGGTGGGGGGGGGGGGCTGAAGCATGTGCCCCCCCCCTCAACCCTGATACAATGCTTTTTTCTTATCCAAGTGTATTGCCCACTGAGAAATCCCATGCGTGTGTGTGGGTGCTCGCGAACAGCAGCTGCTCCTCCTCCCCCTCCTACTTTCCCCTCCGCCTCCACCTCTTCACCCCCCCCCCTTCTCCCCCCACCTCCTCCGCCCCCCCCCCCCCTTCCAGCCAACCTCCTCCGCCCCCTTCTCTCCCCAAATCTATCCCCCCCCTCGTCCCCCTCCTCTCCCTCCCCATCCCCTCCCCCTCTTCCGCTCCTCTCCCTCGTTCGCCCCCTCCTCCTCCCTCTTCCACCTACTCCCCCTCCCCTACATAGGGGGTCTTTGTCTTTTCTTTGGGGGGGGGGGTGGTAGTAGTTAGCGCGTTGCTCTATGACCCGGTCCTGAGCCTCCCGTACATCGACTCAGCAATAAATTAGTACCTCGTGTGGTGTGCGGGGAGACAAAGGCGGTCGGGATTCATTCACCCCCCCCCTCCCCCCACGAGTGCCGTGCCGGCCTTCATAGGTGCCCCTCTGCTAACAGCACTTGCCCCAACAGTCTGTTACGGGCTATACAGGGAATCTTTCTCTTTGGGGAGGGGGGGGGGGTAGATGGTACAGCTGGTCCATCCGCCAGTCATCTCAGTGGGTCAACCCATGGCACCACCTGGGTCTGTCCCGAGACCTCCTGTCGGCTGTGCCTTCGACACTTCACGTGGCCTCAAAGTGCACCTGGCGTGCCACAGGCGCCGTGGTGTCGTTAACGTCACTTCGCGGCGAATGCCGTGGCATTGCGCCTCGAACCCGGTACAGACCTGAGTTTTATTCGCCCGCTCACGGCCACGAGCAACCCCAGTGACAGATGATCTAAACCGGTCCCTGGGGGTCCCCTAGGTCGACTCAGCCTCAAATGAGTGCCTGGTGCGGTGTGTGTAGTAGAACACCGCCAATGGGGAGACAAAGGCGGCCGGGCGTGGTGCTGGCCACCCACCCCCTCGTGTGCCACAGTGCCGGTAGCCTTCATCGGTGCTGCTCACTAAGACTTCTTGCCCCAACAGTCTGGTAAGGCTATACGGGGGATTGTTGGTGGGTAAGCGGTGGTTAAATAATTGAGTGAGATGATGAGTGAGTGAGTGGATCTCTGTGCAAGTCCGTTGGTCTCTATGCGAGTCTGTGATTCTCTGTGTGAGTCTGTGCATCTCTGTTTGAGTCTCTGGGTCTCTATGTGAGTATGTGGGTCTCTACGTGAGTATGTGGGTCTCCGCGTGAGTCTGCGTGTCTCTAACTTGCCCCCGTCGATCTGTCGAGCCTACAACGGGAGACTTGTGTCCGCGCCTGCGTGCGTGTGCATGCAGAGCGCATGGCCACGCTGCAGAGTGGCCTGTCGGACCAGGAGGTTCGCACCGGACAGCCCTCCGAGTTCACCGTCGTGCTGGACGATGAGAAGGTGGAGGGTACCTGGAGGTGCGATGGCAAAGTGGTGAGTGTGGCCACCGGGGAAGGTTGCATTGCCACTGTCACCCTAGTCATCATCATCATCATCGCCGCGGTCATCGTCATCATCATCACCACGGTTACCGTCATCATTGCCATGGACACCGTCATCATCGCCAAACCCACCGTCATCACCATCGCCACCATTATCACCATCAGCACCATCATCGCCACCATCACCAACATCGCCATCATCATCATCCTCATCACCATTATCAACATTATCGCCACCATTGCCACCATCACCACCATCATCGTCGCCATCATCGCCACCATCGTCGCCATCCTCGCCACTATCATCATCATCATCACCATCATCATCATCATCGCCATCATCATCATCACCATCGTCATAATCGTCGTCGTCAACAACAACAGTATCACTATCCAGAGCATAATCACCACCCTGCTGGACACCCCCCCCCCCCTCCCGGCTCACCTCTCGCCCCCCGCCTCCACCCCTCTTCCCCTGGTAGATCGAGGAGGATGACAACGTGAAGATCGTGAAGCAGGGAGCAGTGCACAAGATCACCATCAAAAACACGCAGGACAAGAACATGGGCCGCTACACCTTCACTGCCAAGGGGGTCAAGACGGAGGGAAACCTCAACGTGGCCGGTACGGGAGAGCGGCTGGAGGGGGGGAGGGGGGGCTATTGCTCATAAGGGGGCCCATAGCCCACAGCGTAACAATGAGACAATGCTGCTGCTGAGTTACAAGACGCTCTGTGCATTAACCCTGTTCATTTCTCTCTCCATCCTCCAACCTCCTCCACCTCCTCTCCCTACCCCATCTTCCCCTCCAATCTCCTCCACCCCCACCCGGCCTCCTCCACCTCCTCCTCCTCACTCATCATCCTCAAACTTTCTCCCTCCCCCTCCCACCTCCCCACGCATTCACCTGCCTCCCCATCTCCTCCCCACCTCTTCCTCTCTCCCCTACCATCACCCCTGTTTATATCTCCCTCCTTCAACCTCCTCGCCCTCCCCCTTCTTCTCCTCCTCCCTACTCCCTCCTTCCTCCTCCTCCTCCTCGCTCCTCCATCTCCTCCTCCCACCTCCCCACGTGTTCTCCCGCCTTCCCCCCCCCCCCTCCCACACCGTCCCCCCCACCCACCCCAGACCCACCCGAAATCGACTTGGACCTGCTGGAGCGCCTGATGCGCGAGCCCATCACGGTGCGGGCGGGCCAGACGGCGCTCATCGACATCCCGTTCAAGGGCAAGCCGGTGCCCAAGATCACGTGGCTCAAGGACGGCCTGGAGGTGGAGGAGGACGCCCGCACCACGCTCCACCGCACCGCCTCGCAGACCTCCTTCTGCCGCGCTAACTGTCAGCGCGAGGATAGCGGCGTGGTGACGCTGCGACTCAAGAGTTCCTGCGGCTCAGTCAGCGTGGACATGCAGCTCAACGTCATCGGTGAGATCGAGGGACGCAGCCGCGACACCCACTGTGGTGGAGGTGGTCGTGGTGAAGGTTGCGGTTATGGTGCTGCTGGTGCTGGTTATGGTGACGGTGGTAGTGTAGGAGGTGGTGGTTATGGTGGTGGCCATCTCAGTCAGCAAACCCATGGCAACTGCTTAGTCTGGCCCAATACCTCATGTTAGCGAGCCTTAAACACTTCACGTGGCCTCAAATTGCACCTGGCCTGGAATAGGCGCCATGGTGATGTCACCGTCACTTGTTGCCAAATGGCGGGTATTGGTATTGGTGGTTATGGTACTGGTGGTGGTTATGGTGGTGGTGCTGGAGGGAGTTGTCAATGAACGGCCATTGCTTAATAAACAACTTAGAATGGGCGACTACAGAACGGAACGGGGGAGCTCCTCTGCTCCTCCTCCGTTACTACTCCACTTCTCCTCCACTCCTCCTCCTCATGATAAGCCACTTCGTTGAGCTATCATTTGCGTCGCTTCGGAAAAGAGCTACATAGTTTAGTAGTGGGGGCTTGATCATTTAATAGTTTAACAGTTTTCATAGTTTTCATTTGTTAATAATTGGTATAGTTCGTGTTTTTTTATAGTTAATAGTTTAATTGATTAATATGTTTTATAGTTTAATTGTGTTATAGTTTTCATAATTCATATTTTTTATAGTTTAAGCATTGTTAGAATTTTAGAGCTTTTATCGTTTTATAGTTTTAAATTTTGTTTTATAGTTTTTATATTTCATCGATTATAATAGTTTTATGGTTCATATCGTTTTTCTATTTTATGAGACCTCCTTTGCCAGTAAAAAGATATAGTAATAGGTTTTTACCCTTTCAACTGGCACAAAAACTGACACCTTTATTCAAGGCATCATGTTTGCAATAACCACAACACAAGCAGTCAAAATGCAAACAAAAGAGACAACTCTAATAATAATATGCACTGTCCTTGAATTTGATTGGTCCACACCCGAGACGACTTTTCTTAGAGCCTAGTCTCCACTCGTGTTGGACCAGAAGACGCCAAAAGGCGTCACAATAAAAAACAGCGCACTATCAGAGTACTGAGGGCTCGGGTCGAGCATTTACATTATGAGACCTCCTTTGCCAGTAACAAGATATAGTAATAGGTTTAACCCTTTTAACTGGCACAAACATGATGCCTTGAATAAAGCTGTTAGTTTTTGTGCCAGTTAAAAGGGTAAAACCTATTACTATATCGTTTTCTAGTTCGTAGTATTTTTCTAGTTTAATAATTTTAGAGCTTTTGTATTCTTATATCTTAATAGTTGTTATAGTTCCTAGTTTTTTTACATTTTATAGTTTTTACAGTTTTTGGTTATAGCTATTAAAGTTAATAGTTTTTATAGTTTACTAGTTTATTTGAATAGCTTTTATCGTTTTATATTTTTTTATAGTTCATAGTTTTTTTTATAGTTGATAGTTTGTATAGTTTATCATTTTTATAGTTTGTCTTTTTATAGTTAGCAGTTTTATAGTTTGTATTTTTTTTATATTTTCATAGCTTTTATATCTTAATTGTTTTCGCAGTTTAATATTTTATTTTTTATCTGTGGGCGGCTGCGGCGACAGACGTGCCCAAGCCTCCGCAGGGCCCCGTGGAGTTCACCGAGCGGACGGGTCAGTGCGTGGCCATGAAGTGGAAGGCGCCCAAAGACAATGGCGGGCGGCCGGTCACCAGCTTTGTGGTGGAGAGGCGCCAGGTCGGCCGTTCCTCCTGGATAAAGGTGGGCGAGGTGGACAGCAGCGAGACCTCCTTCTCCTACGACAAGGTGGAGGAGGGCAAGCAGTACCAGTTCCGCATCCGCGCCGTCAACACGGAGGGGGTGAGCGAGGCGTTGGAGTCCGCCGAGGTCTACGCCGGGGAGCCCTACGGTGAGAGGTGGTGGGGGGGGGGGGAGTGGTGGTGGCCGACGTAGACCTGGCATACGTCGTCGGGAATGTCAGCGGTGCGCCAAGAATGATCGTCGCCACCACCACTGTTTTCATCAGCGGCACCACCACCGCCTTCATCAATGTCAGCAGCACCACGAACGACTGTAACCATCACCATCACTACCAAAGCCTTCATCAGCACCACCATCACCACCTACATAAATATCAACGACACCACAACCATCAACAACAACAACAACAACCGCCATTCACCACTAAGTGGTGGTGACGTCACCATGGCGCTTGTGCCACGCTATGTGCACGTTAAGGCTACGTGAAGTGTTGAACGCCCGCTGGCAGGAGGTCACGGTATAGACCCAGGTGCCAAAGGTCGACTGACTGAGATAACTGGCCAATATACCACCTGTGCCCCCTACTGTGCCAACCACAATCATTACCACCATCACCACCTTCATCGACAACACCACCACCACCATCATAATCATCACCACCATCACCACCACTGCCACCACCTTCACCACATTCACCATCACCACGAAGCTGTTGTCCACACCTTTGGGTCTTCATTGCTGTGCGTTGAAACCTCCCCCCCCCCCACCCCCCTCCTCAGTACCCCCGGGGTCTCCCTCTGCCCCCGTCGTGAGCAACGCCACCAAGAGCTCGGTGATGCTCAGCTGGCAGCCTCCGCAGAACGACGGCGGGTCGGCCATCTTGGGATACATGGTGGAGCGCAGGAAGAAGGGCAGCTCCCTTTGGGTGGCCGTCAATACGCAGCTCGTGCAGGGTACACGGAGTGGGGAGGGGCGGGGGGCACGCGGGGAGACACACGGGGACATACGGGGTGACACGTGGGGGGACATGTAGAGACACGCGGGAACACGCGGGGAGATGCACGGGGGACACGCGGGGGGACACGTGGAGACACGTGGGGACACGCGGAGTCACACAAAGACACAGGGGAGACACACGGGGAGACATGGGGGGACATGCGGGGAGACACACGGGGACAGGGGAGGACATTCGGGGAGACACAGAATACGTGGGGACACAAGGTGACAGAGACACGGACACACAGGGTTACAGAGACACGGACACACAGGGTTACAGAGACATGGGGCCACAGTCCGGCTGTGGAGACACACGGGGACAGGGGAGGACATTCGGGGAGACACAGAATACGTGGGGACACAGGGTAACAGAGACACGGACACACAGGGTTACAGAGACATGGAGACACAGTCCGGCTGTTTGTGTCTGTCTGTATGTAGCACAGAGTGGGGAGCGGTGGCGCAGAGGTTAGAACGCTGTGCAACTAACCAGGCATAGACCCGCTTTAAGGAGGTGCTCGCGAACAGCGCTTGCCTCGACGGTAGTGTTGAGGCTACACGGGGGACCTTTGTGTATTGTTGTGCAGGGACGGAGGTGGAGGCCGGGAAGCTGACGGAGGACGTGGAATACGAGTTCCAGGTGACGGCCGTCAACGCGGCCGGGCCAGGGGCGCCCAGCAGCACCTCGCTACCCGTGCTGGCACGCGACCCCATCTGTGAGCACATGCCCGCCCACCCGCTCGCTCACCCACCCACCCATTGACTCACTCACTCACCCACCCTCTCAACCTCTCATCCATCCACCCACTCACCCACCCATGCACCCACCTACACACCGACTCACTCACCCATTGACCCACTCACCGATCCATCCGCCCACTCACCCACCCGCTCACCTACCCGCTCACACACCCACTCACCCATCCACTCATGCACCCATTCACTCACCCATCCATCCATCCACCCACTCACCCACCTACACACCGACTCACTCACCCATTCACCCACTCACCAACCCATCCGCTCTTTCACCTACCCACTCATCCAATCAACCACTCACCGACCCATTCATCCACTCACCAACTTGCTCACCCACCTGCTCACCCACCCATCCATTCACCCACTCACCAACCCATCCGCTCTTTCACCTACCCACTTCATCCAATCAACCACTCACCGACCCATTCATCCACTCACCAACTTGCTCACCCACCCATCCATTCACCCACTCACCGACCCATCCACCCAATGACATGCCTATTCACCCACTCACTCACCCACCCTACTCAGTCAGCCCATCCACCGCACTCGACCCCCTCCAACTGTCACCCCCTCCGTCCCCGGCAGACCCTCCGGGCAAGCTTGAGGACCTGTGGGTGACCGAGACCACCTACTCCAGCGTCTCACTCGCGTGGAAGCCCCCGCTGGCCGACAGCAACAGCGGCAGTGGCGGCAACAGCGAGGCACAGGGCTACGTGGTGGAGATGCGTTCCGAGGATAGCGGGGAGTGGGTGCGCTGCAGCAAGGAGCTGGTAACTGGCACGCGTTTCACGGCCACGGGTCTGCGCGAGAAGGGCCGCTACTTCTTCCGCGTCAGGGCCGTGAACGAAGCCGGCGTCGGCGAGCCGAGGGAGCTGGACAAGTACGTGGTGGCCATGCCGCCCCCTGGTGAGACTCACGACACCTGTCAGGGCGTTTTTTGTTTTATAGGCAAACAAAAAACATAGTATATTATGCGAATATATTATAATTATGTTAAAATTATCTTACCTATAAAAGTCTTTTTTTTACTGTGTGTGTGTAGAAGCCTATCCTTGTAACGCTTTTAACTGATAAACTGTTGGGTTTACATATCAACAAAGTCCACAGGTACAATCTTTACGCGCTTTCCTCTCACAGCGGCCAACGCTGCAGATCCTGTGGCCCTCGAGGTGCTTCTGTACTTTGACATGCTAATCTTTTACATTAACAGCTTAAAATATTTTCACACCAACATAACCACCTCCATGCGCCGACCTCGACTTGGTCTCGTCTCTGCGATCTTACATTAATATGCTAATCTCTCACATTAACATAGCCACCTCCGCGTCCTCATCCTGGAGGCCCTTCTCTGATCTTACGTTTACATGCTAATTTCTCACATTAACATCACTAACGCAGCATCTCTCCCCCCCTTCCACCGATTATCTATGCCCCACCACCCTCTATCTCCCCCCTTTGCCTCCCCCTTTCTTATTTCTGCCCAACTCCCCGCCCCCTCTCTCTCTCTCTACCTATATAACCTCTTGTCACGGCAGCTCTGTCGCCTACTTCAGCAGTGTTCTTGCTGTAGTTGTCTCACCTGATGAAGATTGCTTGTGTTGCGATCGAAAGGTCGTGACTTATTATTATTATTTTTATTTTCTACGTGACTTTACCGAAAGAACCAAAGAGTACACAGATACAACAAACTAAGCTCCCGGACGAAAACTCGCTATTTGTCTTTGCCCTTGGTCCAATGTAAATTAAGAAAATTACACTTTGTAACAATGTACGCTGATTGTACTGATAACTTTGAGCGGGAAGCATCTGTGCATGCATGGAAACGACGACTCGCAATTGCCCCTAGCAATGCAAAAGAGCTTCCTGAGTGGCCACGGGAGGGAGGTTCTCCTTCGTGTAAAAAATGGCAAAAAGAAAAATAATCAAGCACAGTTAATGCTGCACAATCCCACGGTTAGGTATATCCTGAACAGTGTGATGTCCTCTTCTCCCCCCCTCCTCAATGTGCAGTTACTATTAGAAAGTCAGTAGATATTACTGTAGAGTCAGTAGCTACTATTACAATCGGTAGATACTACTATAGTCAGGAGATACTGCTGTAGAGTCAGTAGATACTACTGAAGAGGAGTCGGAGACTCGTTAAGCACTTCTTTAAAAACCAACCCCGAACACGCGTCTCACAGCCCCTTGTAAACCCTCCATCTCCGCCCTCGTTCCCAATAGACATCCTCGTCCCGCACGCCTGGTCCGTGTGACGTCAGTGGCCTTTAACCCTTGACCCCCGTCTAGTGTATTCCCGTGCGTGTGATCGGTGCGTGTTATACTGAGTGCGGAGATTTCATGTCTGCTTGGTGCTTGTGCATGAGGGCGGCTCGCAGATCCCTTACACTACTTTAGAGTCAGTAGATACTACTGTTGAGTCAGTGGATAATACTATAGAGTCAGTAGATATTGCTATAAAGTCACTCGATACTACTATAGAGTCACGAGATACCAGTGGCGGGCCGTGTATTTTACAACTACGCCTCCTGTGATATCCTCCCACAATTAAACCGCCTTCGAATAACCTCACCATGACGCTAGGGTTATAAGCTATTGTCATTCTACTTAACCACCCCCCATATTCACATTGACAGGAAAGTGATTTAACACAAGGGTCAACACCTATAAGAGTTACAATACAGATTTGAAGCTTTCGTGACTGCAAGGATTCATACTCTTTGGTTCTATTCGGTAAAGTTACGTAGGTTAAACAAATTAAAATAAATTGAAATAAAATAAAAACAAAACAATTAAAACACGACGTTTCGGAGGCAAAGCAAGCTTCCGTCTTCAGGTGGGACCAGTCACAGCAAAATCGCTGCACCACAAGTGCTGTGACTGGTCCCACCTGAAGACGGAAGCTTGCTTTGCCTCCGAAACGTCGTGTTTTAATTGTTTCTTTTCTTTTATTTCAATTTATTTTAATTTGTTTTACCTACGTAACTTCACCGAATAGAACCAAAGAGTATAGTTACAATACACTAATTGCAAAGACGTAAATACATGGTGACTTAAACCATCAAGGATGTACCACTATTACGCAGGATGACAGGATGCTGCATCACAAATAGACATCGCATAGCCAAAATCAATGTCATTATCAAAGAAACAAGAACAAATTCACAACAACCAGTCGCATTTACTCATACGACCACCAAGCAAGCAAAAATGCCGTAAAAACACAAATAACACAATCAGGATTCAACAGACTTCCCCACAGAATTTTTTTTTAAAGCACTACATAAAACAAATCTAAACGTCACGAAAGAAAGTTTAAATAAATCTTAGATGATGCTACGTTACGCGCTAGCGAGTTTCACTTCAGTTAGCTAACTGGCCCTCCGATCATGCCACATGAAGAATGCTGACGTAGGCGGCTAGGCCAGCTAGAGGGCTCCGGCGTGTCAAAGAAAACGCCCAACATGGCAATACTCGAAATTTGATTGGTTAAAGAATATGACAATCAACAACATCGTCCCATTTTGGTTGAACAGCAGAGGGGATTCACTCGACATTCTGAAGGCCTCAGGGTAGATTTTTCACCTGGAGAGGCAGAGACAGCACAGGTGGAAAATCTGATTGGATAAAAGCTCTAGTTTATGAGCTGCACTGGAAGCAGTGCAACTGATATATAACATTAATGAAATATATATTAAATTATAAAAAATAAAATTTTCTGATTCTGACAATCTCTAGGCCAGCAGAGAAGGCCTTGCTAGCTCAGGCAGCCTGCCTCTGGGCTTGAGTATCAACTTTGAACGAGGGGGTTGTGATAGAAACCTATCATAATAACATAGGACGATATAAAATACCTTTCTAAACTCATTGATCGTAAACAATGTTGGTTTCAACGGATAACCACAGCGTGAACAAATTACGTAGATACTACTATAGAACCACTAGATGCTACTTTAGAGTCAGTAGGCACTAGTATAGGGTAACTAGATACTACTGACTCTAATGTATGTAGGGTATCTAGGTTTATATGTCTACAAAATAAAAATTGGGATGGGGGGTTAAAAAGTTTTTTGGAGGCGGGGGGGGGTCGACAATTTTTAGATACCTTTCAGATAAACTATTTACCCTTCACTTTCTATAACTTATTGATTCAGGACTTCTGAAAGGCTTTCATAATTTCGTTGACGGACAAATGGACAAACGGAACGCCGGGCTTTCACAATAGCTTAGTATTTGTGTATGTATATGTTATGTTTTTTAAGAGAAGATAAGTTTTGAAATATATTTCCCCCCCCTGGGCAAAGCCGGGTACTTGCTGCTTGTATGATATATATGTCACATGTTTGATATATTATAATATATGATAAATTCTAATATGTTATATAATACTTTGATTTAAAGCTTTCGTGACTGCAGGGATTCATATTCTTGGTTCTTTCGGTATTGTTTGATATTTTTTTAATTATTTTATTGTTTACCTTCTACGTGACTTTACCGAAAGAACCAAGAATATCTTCTTTGGTTCTTTCGGTAAAGTCACGTAGAATGAGAATAAAATAATAAAATAACACAATAAAATTCTCACGACGTTTCGGCCACAACGCAAGCAGCCGTCTTCAGGTGAAAGGTACAGACCTGTCGGGACGACAGAGCTCACGTCAACGCTGGGAGTGTGTGTGTGTTGAGTGTGTGTAGGCACGCGTGTGTGTATGTGTGTGTGTGTCTTGTCAGGAGCGGAAGTGTAGTGGTTAGCGCTTCGCTGCGTTACGAACCCGGCAACCCAAGTTTGATTCCCCCTCAAGCCCAACCCCAGTGACGATTGGCTAATCCGCTCCTGGGCCTCCCTGAAGTCGACTCAGCCTAAAATGAGTACCTAGTGCGGTGTGTAAACATCGCCACTGGGGAGACAAAGGCGGTCGGCCATGGTGTTGGCCACCCACCCCCTCGTGTGCCGTTCGGGCCTTCAGGTGTGCTGCTCGCGAGCGGCACTTGCCCCAACAGTCTGTTAAAGGCTATACGGGGGATCTTTGTCTTTGTGTACGCGAGTGAAAGTCAGTGTGTGTGTATGTGTGTATGTCTTCAGAACAGACCCCCTTCGTAAATTGTGGACAGCTCAAATCCTCGCGGAAGTTCCACGGGTTCCTGCTAGTTCAAACTAAAAAAAAAATTCTATGTTACCTCGTTATTTATATTACCTATATTTTGACAAAGAAAGTTTTACCTCAAAACAAATTACTTTCGTTCGTATACAGGTAGTCCTCTACTTACAATGCGTTACGGTTACCCCATCGTAAGTTTGTAATGTCCGAGCCTACCCAGGAGTCTTAAATAATGGTGATAATTTAGCAAAACAGAGCAATTTACAGGTGATAATTTAGCAAAACAGAGCAATTTACAGTGCCATACTGTATAAACGATATATCTTATAATTATTAATTACAATACTGTATTGCACAGTAAAATTTAAAGTAAAAAAACAAGGTATATTCTTGGCCTACCTATATGAACCGCAATTTCATAGAATGTTTTTTTTAAGGAAACAATCCTATCTGCTATAAAAAAAAACTTTTAACATGCATTGAACGTGTGTATCGTATCGTGGTAACCCTAAAATGAAATCGCTAAAGCTATGTATCATACATGCATTGAACGTATCGTAACGTATCATATTCTACTGTGCGTGCCAAGATTCTGTCCGTCGTCTGCATACTTGAACGATGTTAGGTTGTTGATGGCTACATTAACTTAGTTGTCGGAAGAGGAGGATGGCGATGATCAAGTTACAGTATCGTACCTCGTACGCTGCTGCGTTTGCCTGCCGCGCGAAATTAAAAATATTTTACAATTTTGTCACATCGCTATCGCCATCGTAAGATCGAAACATCGTAAGTCGGACCATCGTAAGTCAGTTAGTTTAACGCGTTATATATTTAGATTTCTTTAATTATATGTTCTATTTTTATTTAAAGCTTTCGTGACTGCAGGTATTCATATTCTTGGTTCTTTCGGTAAAGTCACGTAGAAGGGAAACAATAAAATATTTTATTATTTTTTGTTATTTTATTGTTTCCCTTCTACGTGACTTTACCGAAAGAACCAATAATATAATGTTTTTATTAAATCTACTTTGGACAACTGTGTGGTGGCAATATCGACCCACCAATGACAATCTACGACTATTATGAAATCATTTTTTTTAATTAAACGTTGGTATTGCATTGATTTATTGTTTTCCTGTATTTGCCATGTATGCTCGTAATTTATTTGACCTATGTTTTAACAAGAAAGTTTAACCTTAAAAATACACATTTTTGCACGTGTATTTATATTTAGTTTAACGCTTTGTATATATAGTTTATGTTTTAATTATGTTTTTGCCATGTTAACTTGTCACGTATATATCACATTTCCCCTATATTGTATTTGTAGAAATATTTATTTGCTTTATTTTTTGAGGGGCGATTTTACACCTCCTTTGGACACCTTTTGAGACTACTTTCATTAACATCTAAATATACATTTTATTATGCTTCCGTTCTACATATATGAAGAACGTTTAAATGTTTTGACATGGGAGTGAAGTGGGAGCTGAGCTCTTGAACAAAGCTCTCGGTGGCTTACAGGTCGACCTACGTTCCCACCCTCGCCTATGATGGTCATGAGCTTTGGGTAACTACCGAAAGAATGAGGGGTGCGAGGGGCCAAAATGAGGTTTCTCTGCAGAGTTGTCGGGCTCACTCTCCGTGATCGGGTGAGGAGCTCGGTAATCCGGGAGAGCTTCAGAGTCGAGTCACTGCCCTGCCTCCGCATCGAGAAGAGCCAGTTCGAGGTAGTTCAGGAAACTGGTCAGGATGCTCCCAGTAGATTTCGCCTGGAACTCTACCAGGCGAGTCCCACTGGGCAAAGACCCCAAGGCTGGCCCAGGACATCTGATGGCCCGAACGGCACACGAGGGGGTGGGTGGCCAACACCATGGCCGACCGCCTTTGTCTCCCCAGTGGCGATGTTTACACACCGCACTAGGTACTCATTTTCGGCTGAGTCGGCTTCAGGGAGGCCCAGGAGCGGATTAGCCAATCGTCACTGGGGTTGGGCTTGAGGGGGAATCGAACTTGGGTCGCCGGGTTCGTAACGCAGCGAAACGCTAACCACTACACTTCCGCTCCTGACAGACACACACACACACACACGTGCGTACACACACTCAACGCACACACATTCCCAGCGTTGACGTGAGGCCTCATTACAGCTGACATCCCTCTGCTGGCCTGGGAACGCCTGGGAATTTCCCAGGTAGAGCTAGAATCTGTTTATAGTAGTGTATAGTAATATATAGTGTAGTAGTATATAGTAATGTATAGTAGTGTATAGTGTAGTAGTGTATAGTAATGTACTGCTGGAGTCTGTCGCCAGGTAAAGGGAGGTCTGGCCCGCTCTACTCCAAACGTTGCCTCGCTTCGGTGCTGATGACTCTCCACCACCTACCCGCCCCCCCCGCTACCCTCCCTCCCAGCCGCTCCCAGGTTCCACCTGACCTCGCGCCACCAGAGCTACGTCTTCCTCAAGGCCGGCGAGACCCTGCGGCTGGCAGTCCGCTTCTCGGTACGCACCACCGCTCCGTTCAATCGATCGATCGCTCGATCGCCCCCGTTGGTTGCAGCGACAGGGCACTCGGCTCCGGGACTTCTTTCTCCCGTGCCAAGATGTTGAATGATGATAATACGATGGGGCTTCAGGCTTTCTGGCGTCAACACTGCGGCTGTTAAGGTGCTCATACGCGCGGTTATAGAAACGGCAGTGAATGCGCCCTGTGAGTGTATGCACTCTCCTTGAAACTGATTGGCTTGCACCAGAGACAGCCTCCTCCATGGCAAGCAGCACAAGGGCAATGCACACACCCATGCATGAGTAAGCTGGGGTTAAGCGGCAGCAAGCGATGGGAAGCCTTTCGCCTGCAGCGAGAATGTTGAACGTGTACTTGCGGTGGCCGTTATTGAGCACCGCATCGTGCTGCTTTTGCGGCTGTCTGGAACGTTCTTTTCTTCTAATATGAGGAAGCCACTGGGAGGTACGATGCACTTTTACGTCAACTAGATTGACGAGCTCATTTGTTTAGAACTGCTTGTGGTTGTTGTTGTGTTTAGTTTGTTGTCCTTCCCCCCCCCCCGCACCTCCAATTAGTGCGGTTGTCTACGTACAGCGGGAAAAAAGTTCAACATACACACACTACACCGTACACTACACTATGCATTACACTAAGATCAATACACACAGTTGAGAACTGCCCCTTGACCCTGATGCTCTCCCCCCCCCACCCTCCCTTCCCACCCGCAGGGCATCCCCACGCCCACAGTAACCTGGCACAAGAACACGCTGGCGCTGCCCGACCGCGCCAACGTGTCGACAGAGGGTGGCAGCACCCACATGGTGATCTCTAGCGCGGACCGCTCCGACTCGGGCATCTACAGCGTGAATCTGGCCAATGAGGCCGGCTCTGAGACCATGAAGATCCGCGTCACGGTCGCGGGTGAGCATCGTCACGCAGACGAGCGTCGCACCGAGCACTCACGCACTCACTCACTCGCTATTTCACTCACTCACTCACCCACCCACTAATCTGCCCATTGCTCACTCACTAACTCACTCACTCACCCACTCACTCACCCACCCACCCACTAATCCACCCACTAACTCACTAACACACTCACTAATACAATCACTCACCCACTCACTCACCCATCCCATTGACTCACCCACTCACTAAACCACTCACTAACACACAAACACACTCACTCATTCACTCACCCCATTCACTCACCCATTCACTCATCCACTCACTCACTAACGCACTCACTCACTCGCTCACTTGCTCACTCACTCACACACGCACCCACTCACTCACACACTCACTGGCCCACTCACTGACACACTCACTCACTCATTCACTCACTCGCACATTCACTCACTCACACACTTACTCATTCGCTTATTCACTCACTCACTCGCTCACCCACCCACTCACCCACTCGCTCACTCACTCACACACTCCCCCACTCACTCGCCCACTCACTAACGCACTCACTCCACTCGCTCGCTTGCTGACTCACTCTCTTACGCAAACACCCACCCACTGGCTCACTCACGCATTCACTCACATAGTCACCCATTCACTCACTCACTCATGCATCTACCCACTCACTCACTCACCCACTCAAATACTCATCCGCTTACTCACTAACGCACCCATTCACTCACTCACCGACCCACTCAAACACTCATCTGCTCATCTACCCACTCACACACTCATACACTCACTCACATGCGCAACTACTCACCCATCCGCCCAAACACTCATCCACTTATTCACCCACTGAACCACTCACTCATCCATTAATTCACTCACCCGCTCACTCACCCACTCACTCGACCACTCACCCACTCATCTACCCACTCACACACTCACTCATACATTCATCCATTCTCTCACTCACCCACCCACTGAAACACTCATCCGCTCCTCCACCCACTCACCAAGTCACTCACCCACTCATCCACCCACCTACCCACTCAACCATTCACCCACGGGCTCTCCCGCTCACACACGCGGTGACTGACCCGCTCACCCACCCACCCACACACTCCGCATACAACTCACTCAATCGCCCACTCATCCACCGCAGAGTTCGTTCGAGATGAGAAGAGGGAGGTAAGAGAGTTCGCAGAACCTCTTCCACAGCAACAAGCAATGAACGCTCTTCCGCTACAACCACTCGACCCGAGCTATTGATGCTTTGAACATTTGTATTGCCCTCGTGCTGTTCGCCTCATGGTGTCGTTCACTGGTCGAACACCAGTGAGACACGGCTTGTGTAGCTCTGGTGTGGGCCAATCAGAGCCAAGGACGATGCGTGCGTCATTACAATCACAGAATGTTGTTTTTCATGCGCCAAAAGCACGACTTGTTGTTAATGCAGACTTGATGACGATGCCTTGTTGTGACAATAGGTGGGTCTGTTTGATGTTCGAACATCCTAACACCTCCTGCATTTATGCCAGAAAGGCTAAAGCCTGACGTTGTATCACTCAACATCTTGAGACGTGAAAGCGAATTTCTTCAGAACCACTTGTTGTCGTTTAGTTGTTGTTGTCCTTCCCCCGCACCACCGATTGACGCGGTTGGCCACGCACGGTGCGGACGAAGTTCCGCGTACGCACACGGACAAAAGAATCCCATGGCTATAACCGGCTTAACCCGAGCGATTGAACGCTTTGGTGTGTGCATCGTCCTTGTACCTGCCGCGTGCCTCATCTCCGTCTCACTCACCGCCCCGTGTGTCCCCGTGGGTTCCCGTGTGTCCTCGTGTGTCCCCACATCCCTTCGTCTTCCCCCCCCCCACGCCACCCCACCCCACCACAACCAACTGGCCAGACGTCCCCCGTCCTCCGGGCGAGATCACCCTGGCGGAGGAGATCAGCCAGACGGTGACGCTCACGTGGGAGCCGTCGCCGGACGACCTACCGGAGGAGCGTGTCTACTACGTGGTGATGAAACGCGACTCGAGCACCATGAGCTGGTTCATCCTCTCGGACCGCGTGGCCCACACGCGCTACACCGTCACCAACCTCGTGCCAGGCCGCAAGTATTTCTTCCGCGTGATGGCGCGCAACGACCTGGGCGTGAGCCAGCCCACCGACTGCAAGGACGCGTGGCAGGTGCCAAAGCAGAAAAGTGAGTCCCGTGTCACCGTGCGCGTGCGTCGATGTGTGTGTGTGTGTGGGTACGTAGGTGTGTGTCACTGTGTGTGTGTGTGATAGTGTAGCGGTTAGTGCTACACTGCGCTATGAACCTGGCGACCCGGGTTCGATTCCCGCTCACGGCCAACACCAGTGACAATTATCTGAACCGGTCCTGGGCCTCCCCTGGGTCGACTCGGCCTCAAATGATTACCTGGTGTGATGTGTAAACATCGCCACTGGGGAGACAAAGGCGGTCGGGCGTGGTGCTGGCCACCCACCCCCTCGTGTACCGTTCCGGCCTTCATAGGTGCTCGCTAACAGCGCTTGCCCCTAGAGTCTGTTAAGGCTATACGGGGGATCTTTGTGTGTGTGTGTGTGTGACGGTGTGTGTGCGCGTGTGGAGGAGGCTGGGGAAGGACGCTGCTACTGGGCAGTTGGAGGCAATCGCCCTCCAACAACAACTGAGGGTAGAGGAGCGACGCTCATAACAACGAGCAGGGCGCCGGGGCGGCTAAAACGCAGCAAGTTGGCGCAGTAGGGTTTACATTTTGTGCATTTACCAGTCATTATCAGTCAGTCGACCCGTGGCACCTGCTGGGTCTGTCCCGAGACCTCCTGTCAGCATGCCTCCGAGACTTCACGTAGCCTCAAAGTGCACCTGGCCTGTGTGTGTCACTGTGTGTGTGAAGGTGTGTGTGCGTTTGTGTCACTGTGTGTGTGTCATAGCTGCGCTATGAACCTGGCCACCCGGGTTCGATTCCCGCTCACGGCAAACACCAGTGACGATTATCTGAACCGGTCCCGGGCATCCCCTAGGTCGACTCAGCCTCAAATGAGTACCTGGTGCGGTGTGTAAACATCGCCACTAGGGAGACAAAGGCGGTCGGGCGTGGTGCTGGCCACCCACCCCCTCGTGTACCGTTCCAGCCTCCATAGGTGCTCGCTAACAGCACTTGCCCCTACAGTCTGTTAAGGCTATACGGGGGATCTTTGTGTGTGTGTGACGGTGTGGGTGCGCGTGTGGAGGAGGCTGGGGAAGGACGCTGCTACTGGGCAGTTGGAGGCAGTCGCCCTCCAACAACAACTGAGGGTAGAGGAGCGACGCTCACAACAACGAGCAGGGCGCCGGGGCGGATAAAACGCAGCAAGTTGGCGCAGTAGGGGTTACATTTTGTGCATTTACCAGTCATCTCAGTCAGTCGACCCGTGGCACCTGCTGGGTCTGTCCCAAGACCTCCTGTCAGCATGCCTCCGAGACTTCACGTAGCCTCAAAGTGCACCTGGCCTGTGTGTGCGTCACTGTGTGTGTGAAGGTGTGTGTGCGTGTGTGTCACTGTGTGTGTGTCATAGCTGCGCTATGAACCTGGCCACCCGGGTTCGATTCCCGCTCACGGCAAACACCAGTGACGATTATCTGAACCGGTCCCGGGCATCCCCTAGGTCGACTCAGCCTAAAATGAGTACCTGGTGCGGTGTGTAAACATCGCCACTAGGGAGACAAAGGCGGTCGGGCGTGGTGCTGGCCACCCACCCCCTCGTGTACCGTTCCAGCCTCCATAGGTGCTCGCTAACAGCACTTGCCCCTACAGTCTGTTAAGGCTATACGGGGGATCTTTGTGTGTGTGTGACGGTGTGGGTGCGCGTGTGGAGGAGGCTGGGGAAGGACGCTGCTACTGGGCAGTTGGAGGCAGTCGCCCTCCAACAACAACTGAGGGTAGAGGAGCGACGCTCACAACAACGAGCAGGGCGCCGGGGCGGATAAAACGCAGCAAGTTGGCGCAGTAGGGGTTACATTTTGTGCATTTACCAGTCATCTCAGTCAGTCGACCCGTGGCACCTGCTGGGTCTGTCCCAAGACCTCCTGTCAGCATGCCTCCGAGACTTCACGTAGCCTCAAAGTGCACCTGGCCTGTGTGTGCGTCACTGTGTGTGTGAAGGTGTGTGTGCGTGTGTGTCACTGTGTGTGTGTCATAGCTGCGCTATGAACCTGGCCACCCGGGTTCGATTCCCGCTCACGGCAAACACCAGTGACGATTATCTGAACCGGTCCCGGGCCTCCCCTAGGTCGACTCAGCCTCAAATGAGTACCTGGTGCGGTGTGTAAACATTGCCACTAGGGAGACAAAGGCGGTCGGGCGTGGTGCTGGCCACCCACCCCCTCGTGTACCGTTCCGGCCTCCATAGGTGCTCGCTAACAGCACTTGCCCCTACAGTCTGTTAAGGCTACATGGGGGATCTTTGTCTTTGTTGTGTGTCACTGTGTGTGTGAAGAAGTAGGTGTGCGTGTGTGTCACTGCGTGTGTCACTGTATGTGTGTAGGTGCGTGTGTCACTGTGTGTGTCACCGTGTGTGTGTGTCACTGTGTGTGGGTTTGTAGGTGTGTCACTGTGTGTATATGTAGGTGCGCGTGTGTCACTGTGTGTGTGTGTCACTGTGTGTCACTGTGTGTGTGTGTCACCGTGTTTGTGTCACTGTGTGTGGGTTTGTAGGTGTGTCACTCTGTGTATATGTAGGTGCGTGTGTGTCAATGTAGGGAGCGGTAGTGTAGCGGTTAGCACGCTGTGCTACGAACCTGGCGACCCGAGTTTGATTCCCGCTCATGGCCTACATCAGTGACGATTATCTGAACCGGTCCTGGGCCTCCCCTAAGTCGACTCAGCCTCAAATGAGTACCTGGTACGGTGTGTAGTAAACATCGCCACTGGGGAGACAAAGACGGCCGAGCATTGGTGCTGGCCACCCATCCTCTCGTGTGCCACAGCACCGGCCTTCATAGGTGCTCGCTAACAGCACTTTCCCCAAGAGTCTGTTAAGGCTATACAGAGGATCTTTATATTTGCCTCTGTATGTGTGCGTAGTTGTAGCACTGTGTGTCACTGTGTTTGCTAGATAGGGGGGGGGGGGGCACAGGTGGTGCATCTGCCGGTCATCTCGGTCATCTTGGGACAAGTCAATTATTGCCCGTTATCCTAATTGGCCGATACCACCTTAACATGTAGAGGACTGCAGATCTTTGGACGATAGTTTATTATTGCCCGCTCTCTCCATATGTAAAACCTTTAATAACGTCTTCTCGCCCCCCCCCCTGTTGCCATCATCACCGCCATGATCTTTGCCATCATCGCCATCACCACCATGATCTTCGCCATCATCGCCACCATCTTCGCCATCATCTTCGCCATCGTCGCCGCCATCATCTTCACCATCATCTTCTCCATCACCGCCGCCATCATCTTCGCCATCATCTTCGCCATCATCTTCGCCATCATCGCCGCCATCATCCCCGCCATCATCTTCGCCATCATCTTCGCCATCATCTTCGCCATCATCGCCGCCATCATCTTCACCATCATCTTCACCATCGTCGGCGCCATCATCTTCGCCATCATCGCCACCATCATCTTCACCATCATCTTCACCATCATCTTCTCCATCATCTTCGCCATCATCTTCGCCATCATCTTCGCCATCATCTTCGCCATCATCGCGGCCATCATCGCCGCCATCATCGCCGCCATCATCTTCGCCATCATCTTCGCCATCATTGCCGCCATCATCTTCGCCATCATCGCCGCCATCATCTTCACCATCATCGCTGCCATTATCTTCGTCATCATCGCCGCCATCATCGCCACCATCATTGCTGCCATCATCTTCACCATCATCTTCACCATCATCGCCGCCATCATCTTCACCACCATCTTCACCACCAACTTCGCCATCGTTGCCGCCATCATCTTTGCCATCATCGCCACCATCATCTGCGCCATCATCTTCGCCATCATCGCCACCATCATCGTCACCATCATCTTCGCCATCGTCGCCGCTGCCGCCATTATCGCCGCCATCATCGCCGCCATCACCATTATCGACCGCGGCGGCGGCGGGGGCGGCGGCCAGACCTCTTCGAGGTCAAACTGAACAAGTACCAGGACAAGGAGCGTGAATTCGCGCCCGAGTTCGTGCTGCCCCTCAAGGACCACGTGGCGCCGCCGGGCAACGACGTCAAGATGAGCTGCGCCGTCAGCGGCAACCCGCGGCCCCGAGTCGCGTGGCTGTGCGACGGCGAGCCGGTGAGCGAGACGTCCAACGTGTGGTGCAGCGACACGTACGGCGTCTGCTCGCTGCACGTGGCGCTCGCCACCGCCAAGGACAGCGGAGTCTACTCGGCGGTCGCCATCAACCACCTCGGGGAGGCGTCGTGCTCGGGCAAACTCGCCGTGACCGGTGAGTGACTGGTGCGTGAGTGGTGAGTGAGCGGTGAGTGAGTGGTGCGTGAGTGGTGAGTGAGTGATGAGTGAGTGAGTGAGTGGTGAATGATTGGTGAGTGACCGGTGAGTGGCTGGTGCGTGAGTGGTGAGTGACCGGTGAGTGACTGGTGCGTGAGTGGTGAGTGAGCGGTGAGTGAGTGGTGCGTAAGTGGTGCGTGAGTGGTGAGTGATTGGTGAGTGATTGGTGCTTTTAGTTTGATGTCCTTCCCCCGCACCTCCGGTTGCCTCCATCCAGTGCCAAACAATTTTACCACACACACAGTCACACACAGACACACACACAAACACACAGACACACACAGACACACACACAGACACACAAACACACAAACAAAAATGCCCCGTGTAGCCTCAGCAGACTGCAGGGGCAAGTGCTGTTAAAGCGAGTAGCTGCAACCTATGAAGCCCGGCACGGCACCACGAGGGGGTGGGTGGCCAGCACCACGCCCGGCCGTCTTTGTCTTCCGTTTACACACCCCAGGTAGTAATTTGGTACACCTTGGGCATTGCTTGTTGGCCGTGGGCAGGAATCGAACTAGCAGGACCCTGTTGAGACTCGGCGAGGATTTTGAATATACAATCACATTGCTTGTCAACTCCTGATCAGTGCCCTACCTTATTGGAGGCAAATTCAGACCCTTTTTGATCACCCCGTGCCCCTTATGAATCTCAACGTTCATCCGACAAAGTCCCATCAACATGGGAGAAACACAAGCAAACAGACACATCGTGTTTTTTACGCGCTTTTATTTAACTCACTGTCTGTTGTATCCTCAACTCTGTTGTTGAATTCTCAAATCTTGTAACTCAATTGTAACCCACTTCCCAATGTGGTATCGACTGCAAACTTGGTATACTTATGTCATACTTATGACAATACTATATTCTATCATTGAAAATAAAAAAAACAGATTTTTAAACGATCTTTTTTTATACGTTATGTTTCGGCTTGGGTCTAATTGTCCATGCTCAACTCACGTTGGCTGTAAATCACCACGGGTCCCCTTACGTTGTGGCAAGCTTCGGGGCCACTTCCTGGAGTCGTGGAGTTCTGCCATTACTAGTACGGTACATTTCATTAAAGCGTGTGTTTTTTTTAAATAGTTTGTTTTTTGCCCGTATTGAAACGGCTGTACGCCGTATGGACCTAAAAACTCAATTCCCTGTATAGGAATACGGGGTAAGCCGTATGGGTTAACAGGTATGGGGTCGTCCATAAATGATGTCACGCACCTAGGGGGAAGGGGGGGGGGTCAGACATTTGTGACGATGTGTGACGAAGGGGGAGGGTGGGGGTTGAGAAATGTGACGTCACATCAAAATGCGCAACTTTAAATAAATATAGACAACACGTTCTACTTAATTAAATATACTTTTTAATAAATGTTTTCTCCTACAACATCAGAGCGCAGCGCCACATTAAATACGCACTAAAATAACAATAGTTTAAAGCGATTTGAAGCATGTTTTACTATTATTAATTTTTTTTGGGGGTGGCAGAGCTTTGTGACGTCATATTTGAGGGGGGGGTCTGACTTTTTGCGACGCCGTGTGACGATGGGGGGGGGGGGGGCGGGGTCAAAAATCGTCCAAAATCACGTGACTTCATTTATGGACGGCCCCCTATAAAGACAAAGATCCCCCGTATAGCCTTAACAGAATATTGGGGTAAAGGGCGTTTAGCGAGTAGCAGCACCAATGAAGGCCATGGCCATACGAGAAGGGGTTGGCTAGTCAGCACCACGCCAAGCTGAATTTGTCTTCCCGAGTTGCGATCTTTACACACCGCACCAGGCTATTCATTTCAGGCACTACACTCACGCACGCACGCAACCCTCATTCACGCATACACAAAGACAAAGATCCCCCGAATAGCCTCAACACACGCGTACATACGCACGCGCATGCACACACTGACACAAATACCAATGCCCGCCATTCGCCACTAAGCGACGGTGACGTCACCACGGAGCCCGTGCCAGGCCACGTGCACTTTGAGGCTGCCACGTGAAGTGTCGAAGGCTCTCGCTGCTGACAGGACGAGGTCACGGGACAGACCCAGTGGGTGCCATGGGTTGGCCGACTGAGATGATCGGTAGATGCACCACCAGCTGTACCCCCCTACTGTGCCAGGCTAGGTGCAGGAGGTCACGGGACAGACCCAGCAGGTGCCATGGGTTGGCCGACTGAGACGATCGGCAGATGCACCACCACCAGCTGTACCCCCCTACTGTGCCAGGCTAGGTGCAGGAGGTCACGGGACACACCCAGCGGGTGCCATGGGTTGGTTGATCTGAGACGATCGGCAGACGCACCACCAGCTGTACCCCCCTACTGTGCCAGGCTAGGTACAGGAGGTCACGGGACAGACCCAGCAGGTGCCACGGGTTGACCGATCTGAGATGACCGGCAGATGCACCCACCACCAGCTGTACCACCCTACTGTGCCAGGCTAGGTGCAGGAGCTCACGGGACAGACCCAGCAGATGCCATGGGTTGGCCGATCTGAGATGACCGGCAGATGCACCCACCACCAGCTGTACCCCCCTACTGTGCCAGGCTAGGTGCAGGAGGTCACGGGACAGACCCAGCAGATGCCATGGGTTGACCGATCTGAGATGACCGGCAGATGCACCCACCACCAGCTGTACCACCCTACTGTGCCAGGCTAGGTGCAGGCGATCACAGGACAGACCCAGCAGTTGCCATGGGTTGGCCGATCTGAGATGACCGGCAGATGCACCCACCACCAGCTGTACCCCCCTACTGTGCCAGGCTAGGTGCAGGAGCTCACGGAACAGACCCAGCAGGTGCCATGGGTCGGCCGACTGAGATGAAGAAGTAGATGCACCACCATCTGTACCCCCCCCCCCTTCCTCTGCCAGCTCTCACCCTCACTCACTCACACACGAAGACAGATTCCCCCGTATAGCCTCAACACACGTGTACATTCGCACGCATCGTTCGTTCGTTCATCCCAGCGGATCTCTAACCCCCGGCACCACCCCCCCCCCCCCGCCGCCCCCGTCTGTTCCCTGCCGCTCCTCTGTCTCCCCCACCCCCCTCCCCCCCCCACCCTCCCTCTCTTGCAGGAGAAAACTAACGGCGAGAGGGACGGGGCGATGGCCCTTCGCCGATCGTCGACCGCCCATCATCCTCGCATGCCCAAAGCCGTCCACCTTCGTCTGTCCCCATCTCTTTAGAACGTCCGGTCGATGGGTTTTAGAGGGGGGGGGGGGGGGGTTGGGTGGGGGGCGGTCGCTCGATCGTGCCAGGTCGAGTCCGACGTTTCGCACCACACCCCCCACCCCCCCCGCCGCGCTCCCCCCCCCCCCCCCCTCCGGGATGCCGTCACCCTCCGTCATCGCCGCCTAGTACGCAGGAGGTCGTCGCGGGGTCGCCTGCTTCTAGCTACGACTTTCATTCGTTTTGGCCGGGTGTCGAGGCCCCCCCCCCCCCGCCACTGAGCTGCCTTTTGATTTTTCAGAAGCGACACCCCGGCTCGTGGGCCGTCCTTAAATGACGTCACGCACCTGGGGGGTGGGGGGTGGGGGGTGGGGTCAGACATTTGTGACGATGTGTGACGAGGAGGAGGAGGGGGGGAGGGGTTGAGATATTTGACGTCACATCAAAATGCGCAACTTTAAATAAATATAGACAACACGTTCTGCTTGATAAAATAGACTTTTTAATGAATGTTTTCTCCTACAACATCAGAGTGCAGCGCCACATTAAATACGCACTAAAATAACAATAGTTTAAAGCGATTTGAAGCATGTTTTATTTAAAAAAAAATTTGGGGGGGGGGGGAGCGGCAGAGCTTTGTGACGTCATATTTGAGGGGGGGGGGTCTGATTTTTTGTGACGCCGTGTGACGTCATTTATGGACGACCCCCTATCGCAAATGAAGGCGTCTCAACCGAGTTGCTGATATCATCGTCGTCGACACGTGGACGTTCATAGCGGCAGACAAATATCTCGTAAACGCGTGGCGACGTTGACTCTAAACGTGGAGGGGAGATAGCTGAAGGACCCAGAGAAATATCCACGCGACCACGGGGAGAGAGATAAATATATAGAGAGCAGGCGTCGTGGGTCGGGATCGAACCCACAACTTCCTGTATACCAGGCGAGGTAGTCAACATCTCCTAGCCATGGTGATGATGATGATGAGAGAGAGAGAAAGAGAAATATACAGCAGCAGGCGTCAGGGTCGAGATCGAACCCACAACCTCCTGTATACCAGGCGAGGTAGTCAACATCTCCTAGCCATGGTGATGAGAGAGAGAGAGAAATATAGAGCAGCAGGCGTCAGGGTCGGGGTCGAACCCACGACCTCCTGTATACCAGGCGAGGTAGCCAACATCTCCTAGCCACCGTGATGATGATGAGAGAGAGAGAAAGAGAAATATACAGCAGCAGGCGTCAGGGTCGGGATCGAACCCACAACCTCCTGTATAGCAGGCGAGTTAGTTACCATCACTTCCCCCTACCATTACCCCAATCCTTATCATGACCCCTATCACTTCCCCGATCACTACCCCGACCCTATAGTCGCGTGGATTTTTGTCTCCGGGTCCTTCTGAATCAACATCACCACGCGTTTCAAGTATTCGGCCGCCGCTAGACATTTCCACGTGATGACGACGATGACGATATCGGCTAATTCGTTGAGCTATCATTCGTGATAGCCAGGCACCTTGTTGAAAAACAGCTACACAGCTCAGTAGTTAGCCTTACCTGGTCAAATAAAAAGAGTTAATTTAGTTATTACCTTTGGCCGCTGCTGCAAAGGGTTAGGGTTTAGGTTAGAGCCCTGATCAAGGGTTAGAGTCTAGCACCCGTGTGCATGTGGGAGTGTGCATATCCCATGGGGAGTTGTGGTGCAGTGGTTAACGCGCTGCGCTACGAACCGGGCGTCCCGAGTTCAATTCCCGCCCACGGCCGCCACCAACCGGGTCCTGGCACTCCCCTAGGCCGTCTCAGCCTCAAATGAGTACCTGGTCCGTAGTAAACATCCCCACTGGGGGACACAAATGCGGCAGGGCCTAGTGCTGGCGACCCAGCAGTCCACTGGAGCCCCGAGTTCGATTCGCGAACGACGAGGGCAGTGGAGAGCAGCGAACATCTGAACCGGCACGGAGGCTTTCCACCCCGAGATCGGCGCCAGGGTCGGGATCGAACCCACGACCTCCTGCTTACCAGGCGAGGTAGTCAACATCTCCTAGCCACGCACAAATATACAACAGCAGCAGGTATCGTCAGGGTCGGGATCGAACCCACGACCTCCTGCGTACCAGGCGAGGTAGTCCACATCTCCTAGCCACGCACAAATATACAGCAGCAGGCATCGACAGGGTCGGGATCGAACCCACGACCTGTGTATCAGGCGAGGTAGTCAACATCTCCTAGCCACACACAAATATACAGCAGCAGGCATCGACAGGGTCGGGATCGAACCCACGACCTCCTGCGTACCAGGCGAGGTAGTCAACATCTCCTAGCCACGCACAAATATACAGCAGCAGCAGGCATCGTCAGGGTCGGGATCGAACCCACGACCTCCTGTAGACCAGGCGAGGTAGTTAACATCTCCTAGCCACACACAAATATACAGCAGCAGGTATCGTCAGGGTCGGTAATGAACCCACGACCTCCTGTATACCAGGCGATATAGTCAACATCCCCTAGCCACCGTGATGATGATGATGAGAGACGCAGACTCCAAATCTACAGCAGCAGGCGTCCGGGTCGGGATCGAGCCCACGCCCTCCTGTGTACGAGGCGAGGTAGTTAACATCTCCTACCCACCATGGCGAAGAGATGATAACTAGCGACCGCTATGATTCGAACTGTGATACCTCTGTCTGTGTGTGGGATGGGGGGGGGGGGAGTGGTGGCGCAGCGGTTAGCACGCTGCGCTATCGAACCCGGTAGCTCAAGTTCGATCCCCGCTCACGGCACGGCCACCAACACCAGTGACAGCGCTTATCTGAACCGCTCCTTGGGACTCCCTCTAGGTCAACTCGGTCTCAAACGAGCACCTGGTGCGTTCGGCGGTGGTGGTGTGTAGTAAACATCGTCATCACTGTGGGAGAGACAAAGGCGGCAGGGCTTGGCTGTTCATCACTTCCCGCACGCCACTCCACCGCGCGTGCCACCGTGCCGGCCTGCGTCGGGTGGTGCTCGCTCACGGCACTTGACCCACCGGAATGTTGAGGCTATACCGATGGGGGGGGGGGGGGCTTTGCCTTTGCTTTGCAGCATTAAAATTGAACGTGAAAATGTAAGCGAGTGTGGGTGCATTTCTTGTTTCCAGGACGCCATTCACCCGGCAATGATTGATTGGTGATGATGGTGATGATGGTGGTGGTGATGGCACCCATTGCGACGATTGCATAGCTGTTAAACCACGTGGTTTACCCCGTATTCTTGCATTGAGTATTCAGGCCCATGCGGCGTACAGCCGTTTGTGATGGGAACTTTGCAGGGTGAACGTTGAGATTGATAAGGGGCACTGGGTAACCATTAAGGTCTGAATTGGTCTGTGATAAGGGAGGGCACTGATCAGGGGTTGACAGGTTTGCTATACGCTATACACTACACTATACACTACACAACCATACACTAAACTACTACACACTATACACTACACAACTATACACTACACAACTATACACTACACTACTATACACTACACATCTATACACTACACTAGTATACACTACACTATACACTACACTACTATACACGACACTATACATTGCACTATACACTACACTATACACTACACTACTTTACACTGCACTATACACTACACTATACACTACACTACTATACACGACGCTATACACTACACTATTGCAAGAACATTTTCTTGCTGTGGTTTTTCTTGCTGTGGTTTTCACACCTGATGATCATTGCTGCTTTGTGTTGCAGTCGAAACGTCGTAAGAATTTTATTGTTCCATATTTTATTTTATTGTTTCCCTTCTACGTGGTGGTGACTTTACCGAAAGAACCGAGAATATGAAAAAAACAAAAGAAAGTTGAGAGCAGTGAGAAAATGGAGTACCAGTCAGACGTTAGAAGCTGACAGCAGTGCAAGAGATGAGTCAATGTTTCTCGATGCAATAATCATCGCCATTCAGATCAGAAATGGTCGTTAATCCATTCCTGAACATCATGGCAAGAAACACCACTTGTTTACCGACGATATTTCTTACATGTTCACTCTGCTGCATTCAGAGTAAAGAGAGAGAGAGAGGGGAGACTTTGACTTTTAAACAACTTTTATTGCCGCCAGCAGCAACAGCACTGGAGACGATTTCGATATGAAATACACAAAGTCACCAGCAAACAAATGAAAATAAACGCTACAAATCCACGCGCTGTGGCGCTAAATGCACCGCGCACAACATGAAAGAAAAGTCACGTGGTGGTGGTGGTCATCGCGCACGCCACGGTGACGAGCGAGTGCTTCAGAAGGTGCACACGAGGGTGCCGTGTACGCTGGTACAGAGGGCTTTTCCGGCTTCCCAGCGTTAGGAGAAGACGGGAGAGAGAGGGCATGTGGATGCCGACAGGGCAGGGAGAGCAGTTGACATGGAGGTGAGTGAGAAAAGGAGCAAATATTGATGATTAAGCACGAATAATGGCATTCACAAACAGTCTAATCCTAATGTTCATTTAAGCTGAGATATTCCTCCAACTATGGCTTCCCGTGTGTATTTCAGATAATAAAATCAAGCAGGGAGACTTGATTTTGAGACAATGACAGACAGAGAGAGAGAGAACAGACAGACAAGCAAAGATGAAAGTGCAGGAGAGGAAGGGGAGGGGCTTGGACCTCGCCCAAATCAGCCAAATGTCAATGTCATACCTAGTCAAACCCTACCAAATAGGACACTCTACTTTCAGGAGAAATGGTTTAAAGAACACATTCCTGCGGAGGGAGCTGGTAGGAACGTTGGGTTGCTCGATCAATGGCCAGGGTCAACGGCGGCACCACGTGGTGTATTCCGCAAATATGCCCGACTGTGAGGGCGGGCACAAGCCGGCGTGAGTAGGTTAAACGTTGAGTTTTATAAGGGCACCACGGGGTGACCAGCCCCTCCCCACCCAGCCCCACTCAGCCCCTCTCCACCCTCCCCACCCAGCCCCTCCCCACCCTCCCCACCCAGCCCCTACCCACCCTCCCCTCCCCACCCAGCCCCACCCTCCCCACCCTCCCCACCCAGCCCCTCCCTCCCACCCAGCCCCACCCCTCCCATTTTTGGATGCACGACGGACGGACGGACGCAATGATCCACTGTGGGCTGGTGGTGTAACCAGGAGGTTCCTACCAGTATAATACTTGGCTCTATTACATCACCTCCTTAAAGGGGGTCCTCTGTTTCTATTGTGCTACGTACTTTGCAACACAAAAGTCTAAGCTTGCGTCAAAAGCAGATTCAGCTTTTGTCAAGACTGGCTTTCACAATTGGAAGAAGGCACTGGTGAAATTTGGTGCGCATGAAGGCAGCCAGTGTCACAAATTAGCTGTGATGACTCGGATTCAGGGGCCAAAACCTGTTAATGTTCAACTTCCACGTGAGCTTGAAAGACAGCAGCCACAAGCGAGCAGAAATCTCATGAAGATTGTTGGGGGATGTGAAGTACTTGGCACTGGCAAGGTCTGGCTTTTCGAGGCGTTAAGGAGAGTGGGAATTTCAGCCAGCTTCTAAAGTACAGGGCAGAAGGGCGATGCAGAGCTGACCACCTGGCTGAAAGGTCACTTTAATTTCACCAGTCCCCAAATGCAAAACGAAATTTTCAAGCTGTTGGGCAATACAATCGTCGATGAAATTGCGTCGGAAATGACATCAATGTCAGTGGTCCAGTTCGGACTTGTCATTGATGGCACCCAGGATATATCAGGAGTTGAGCAGGAGTCAATATGTTTGCGCTTCGTAGATGCAGATCTACAACCGAAGGAAGAATTCCTGGGACTCTACGAAGTGTCAACAACGACAAGTGCAAAATATAGCCAAGATGGCATGCGATGTGATGATGCGTCGAGGCCTTCCTCCGTCCCCAACTTCGAGGCCAAACCTATGACGGTGCCGAAAATATGACTGGACGATTGCTGGGGGGTGCAAGCAATTTTAAGGAAAGAACGACCGCTGGAAATGTATTGTCACTGTGGGACACACTGCGTGAACTTAGTTACGCAGGCTTCCTGTGCAGCCTCTCCACTTGTAAGATAATCAATGGGTCTGGTGCATGACCTTGGGGGGGCTTCTTTAATCAATCTGGAAAGTTCAAGGTGATTTTCCAGGAAATCGCAAAATCAGAGCATGGTTTCAACTCGTTGAAACCTCTCTGTCCCCACCAGGTGGACTGTTCGCACCCCTGCCATCTGCGTGCACCAGGAGAAACTGGACAGACTGGACCTTGAAGGATAATGCCAATCTTTTACTGGTAGGAACGAAGTTGTAAACTGAGTGTACCAGCCTGCAATAGATTAATGTGTCCGTCCGTCCGTCCGTCAGTCCCCTTTCAATACTTTAACGAAGTGAAATCTCGTGCTGTTAAGTGTAAAATCAGCAATAGACAGCGCAGAGACTTGTCCTACCAGCCCACCCTGCAGGGACCTGTTATCGGTGTCAACAATAGGCGCAAAAAATGCCTTTGGATCCTTTGCTTGAGGAATGCCAAGTCAAAACAGCCTGGAGAGGATAGGAGACGAGAGCAGAGGAAAGGAGCAAAAATGACTGCAGAGCAGGGGAGAGGAAAAGAGATGACTGGAGAAGATAGGAGAATATAGGAGCAGAGGAGAGGAGGAGAGAGGGCTGGAGAGGAGAAGATAGGAGAGCAGAGCAGAGCAAACGCCCCTTCTGCCCGTCCAAGTTTACTTGTAAATATATAAATAAAAACAACAAATTGCTAAACCTTGGCCACAAAATCCGGACTTGTCTTCATCACACAATGCACATATGTATGTGCATATGATTGTGGTTATGGTTGTACTTTATTAATCCCTAATCTCTGTCATTACATACAATGAAACAATTACAGGTAAAAAAAATAATATTAAAAAACAGAGCAATGTAATACCATACACTATTAGACATTATTGTAAAACATAAATAAAACGTCCATCCCATATGTTAGTGAATTTTTAAAATATTTTAGGCAGGAAATGGCAGGAAATAGTTTTCAAATTTAGATTCTTTTTTTCTGGGGGGGTGGACCCCCAAACCCCCTGGAAGATTTGCCCCCCCCCCCCCCATGTTGACTCCATTGCTAAGGCCTTGCACTACATTACACCATAGGGCCGTCCATAAATGACGTCACGCGATTTTGGACGATTTTTGACCCCCCCCCCCCCCCGCCTCGTCACACGGCGTCACAAAAAGTCAGAACCCCCCCTCAAATATGACGTCACAAAACTCTGCCCCCCCCAAAAAAAATATGAAACATGCTTCAAATTGCTTTAAACTATTATCATTGCAGTGCGTATTTAATGTGGCGCTGCACTCTGATGTTGTAGGAGAAAACATTTAATTAAAAAGTATATTTAATTAAGTAGAACGTGTTGTCTATATTTATTTAAAGTTGCGCATTTTGATGTGACGTCACATTTCTCAACCCCCACCCTCCCCCTTCGTCACACATCGTCACAAATGTCTGACCCCCCCCCTTCCCCCTAGGTACGTGACATCATTTATGGACGACCCCATACCTGTTAACCCATACGGCTTACCCCGTATTCCTATACAGGGATTTTAGTTTTTTAGGTCCATACGGCGTACAGCCGTTTCAATACGGGCAAAAAAATACTTTTAAAAAACACACACTTTAATGAAATGTACCGTACTAGGAATTGCAGAACTCCACGACTCCAGGAAGTGGCCCCGAAGCTTGCCACAACGTAAGGGGACCCGTGCTGATTTACAGCCAACGTGAGTTGAGCGTGGACAATTAGACCCAAGCCTGAAACATAACATATAAAAGAGATAGTTTAAATTTGTTTTTTTATTATTATTATAAAATATAGTTATTGTCATCAGTATGACATGAGTATACCAAGTTTGCAGTCGATAAAACATTGGGAAGTGGGTTAAAATTGAATTACAAGATTTGAGAATTCAACAACAGACAGAGTTGAGGATACAACAGACAGTGAGTTAAATAAAAGCGCGTAAAAAAACACGATGTGTCTGTTTGCTTGTGTTTCTCCCATGTTGATGGGACTTTGTCGGATGAACGTTGAGGTTCATAAGGGGCACGGGGTGATCAATAAG